AGGTGCACTTACAGAAAATAGAAACTGCAATCTTTCTTTTAATTCATCCTATCTCAGATCTCAAAATTTTAACTCTTACCAGAATTTATTCTATCTTACAGTATAACTCGGAAGTTTCTAAGTGAAACTCGAGCTTTAACTAGAACTCTTACTCGAATAAACATTCGAACTAAAAATAAAACTGGAATTTTAACTCTAAATTTAGCTGGAACTCGAACTCTTATTCTACATCAAAGGTTATCCACACTCTCATTTGTCATCTGATAAAAAAATTCGTAAGGGTTCCACGGAACCCAGTGTCGCGCCTACTTTTGCTGTTAATCGCAGGCTCAACAAAAATGAGGAAAAAAATCAATAAAAATATTCCTCTCGATACTATCTTTTGATTATAAGAAGCTTCTGTCCAAGTTTGGTATAAATCTAGGGTAGTTTATGGATCTAATAAATGTTTTAAAAACTTTATCTGCATACTGTATGTAATGTTAACTGGAAGAAAAACTAAGTCCATTTATAAGTAAATACGGATAAACAGGTACAAAATTTTGACAAAATTTCCTTCGAGATACAAGCTTTTGATCATAAAAAAGCTTCTGTCCAAGTTTGGTACATATCCAGGATAGTTTAAGAAAGTTATTGAAATCTTAAAAACTTTAACCACAGAGTGAATGTATTGTTTCCTGGCAGAAAAACTAAGTCAATTTATAAGTAAAATACGGAAAAAATAGATTTTTTTTTACAAAATTTACTTCTGGATACTATCTTATGATCACAAACAAGCTTCTGACAAAGTTTGGTACAAATCCAGGATAGTTTAAGAAAGTTCTTAAAAATTTAAAACTCTAACCACAGAGTAAATGTATTGTTTCCTGGCAGAAAAACTAAGTCCATTTATAAGTCAAATATGGAAAAACAGGAATTTTATTTTTTACAAAATTTACTTCTAGGCTACTTGGCTAGAGGTATAGGTGGAGGGTTGAGATCTCATAAACATGTTTAACCCCGCCGCATTTTTGCGCCTGTCCCAAGTCAGGAGCCTCTAGCCTTTGTTAGTCTTGTATTATTTTTGATTTTAGTTTCTTGTGTACAATTTGGAGTTTAGTATGGCGTTCATTATCACTGAACTAGTATATATATTTGTTTAGGGGTCAGCTGAAGGACGCCTCCGGGTGCGGGAATTTCTCGCTACATTGAAGACCTGTTGGTGACCTTCTGCTGTTGTCTGTTCTGTGGTCGGGTTGTTGTCTCTTTGACACATTCCCCATTTCCATTCTCAATTTTATTCTGGATACTATCTTATGATCATAAACAAGCTTCTGTCCAAGTTTGGTAGAAATCCAGGATAGATTAAGAAAGTTATTAAAACTTCAAAAACTTTAACCACAGAGTGAATATTTGTGGACGCCGCCGCCGCCGCCGCCGACGACGACGACGACGGAATGTAGGATCGCTATGTCTCGCTTTTTCGACTAAAGTCGAAGGCTCGACAAAAAACTAGAGTTAGATAAAATATATCAACATGTCCACAGAAACACGGATAGATGTAGCAGAACAAGAAAAAAAAACTAGATCCGTTTATTACAAATTAAAAGATTTTTTTAAATACATCAACTGGGAACATTATATGTTCCTAATATCACTATGGCGATGTGTATTTCATTGTCAAATAACTCTAAATTATCAGATGCATTGTATTTCTCATAACATACCAACGTTGAGCGATTAATCGAACGGTAATAAAATATACGTAATTCATAAAGTTTTAATACACAGGCGATGAACATTGAACATATTATGTACAATGAACATGAAACGATGTATGAAAAATGGGTGCGGGATGATAGTTCGAATAAATTATGAAGCGTTGTGTAATTATGGAACCAATTTTAAATTCCTACCGAAAATAGGTTTCTTTTAACGTGCTGAGTTTGTGGCATTTTTAACACGGCATTTCAGGTTTTATCTTCCCGGTGCGAATGGACAAGCTTGTGAAATTATGGTAACGAAATTATTCTGCCTGCAGTCTAAAAGGAACGTGTTACTTTTCAGCCCGGATACCCTCAGTCTTCCGAGGTAGAAGATTCTTTATCTGGAAGCCGAAAATTATTTCTATAATACGGCATGAGGCAAACATTCGTTTTCCCCATACAACAAATGCAATTTAAAAAATGAGATGACTTCACCGTTGACAATTACTTTATAATAAACTGTTCAGTATTGTATCTATGTTTAACGATTCGATAGATTGATAAAGATATCAATGAATAATCAAAATACCTTAAAAAATGTTAAAAAATGATATTATATTTTGTAGTGAAAAGGTTTAATTCAACCCAAGCGTTGCAAGAAATGCTGTTATGCCAGCAACGTCGTTCTATAACGTTAAAAGGTTATAGTTCCCGCCAAAATTCAATAATAAAGATTATTTCCGTTTTAGCGGATTTAAAACATCGGTGACCCCCCTTTTTTATTTATGCTTTTAAAATCTTCCCTGAAGCTGCAACTTATGCAGAAGTTTGAAGGGAAAAACATTAGTAGATTTTTTTTATTTCAATAAAAATCTATTATAAATAGCAATTAAAAATGGCGGGAAATGTTCAAATGCCTTCAAAAATAAGGAAACCGAGACAAATAAATGTTCATAAAGTACAAGTTACATTTGACTGTTTTTGTTATTCCAGTTAAACATGGTTTTTCAATAAGTTTGTCTTTTTTTAACAATTTAGAGCGGTATTTCTATATTTCGTTATAAGGCGATTCTTTAAGTTTTGATGACGTCATATCTCGAAAACAACATCGGTGACCCCAATTTTTTTTCCGCCTTAAATATCTTAATAAATATGATCTGTCTACATGCAAAATTTCAATGAATTATTATTAGTAGTATAAATAGTGTGATTTCCCTTTAACAAAGTTATCAATGTCTTTAAAAACTTAAACTCAGATTGTCGTATCTAAATGCTAACTACAACAAAAAATCCATTTATCAGTAAATTACGGAAAAATTTTTAGAAAATATTTTCAAAATTTTGCTCTGTTTACTGTCTGTTGAACATCATAAAGCTTTTGGCCAAGTTTCATAAAATTCTTTGAAGGTTTTACAAAATTATTGATGTCTGAAGAACTTGCCTTAGTCTGTATCTTGATGTTAACTGTGAAAAAAGTCCATTTACCAGTAAAATACGAGAAAATTAAAAAACAATATTTTCTAAATGTTATTCCAGATGCTGTCTTTTGATCAAGTATATACAAAAACCTTCTGACCAAGTTTCATAAAATTCATTGAAGGTTTGACAAAGTTATTGATGTCTTAACAAGCTTTTACCACAGACTTTACCTAAATGTTGACGACGCCGATGCCGACGACGGAATGTAGGATCGATCTATGTCTCGCTTCCTGGACAAAATGTCACATGCTCGACAAAAAGCATCATAATGGGTATCATCTGGGACCATCATCGATGCCTCAGTCCCAGGTATCACCAGTATATATTATATATAGAATAAACACGACACACTGCTGGTTCTTATTAACATACGTGTATAATACGGGGTAATTTAAGTTAATTCAGTATACGAATGTTCATATAATATGTAGTCATTGTCTATTTATGTAAATAAGCACGTCATTAGAATTTCAGCCGCAAAACCATTTTGGTGCTTGTTTTGGAGAGAAAAGCTTCTTTCAATATTGCAAATGAGTGTTACAGTTAAAACATATGTAGACACTTGGGACATGCCTTGAACCTCCCTTTCACGAGTCATTCAAATATGTGTGTGTTTTATGGTATCTTTTTTCGGATTGCTTCAATTTATTTCCTTTATACTATGTTATCTCGCTCTTATCCATATAATCTTACAATAACTTTAGTTTATACATGCTGCCCCTCTACTCTTGTTTTCATTAAAAGAATGAACAAGTGGGGTACATGCCCAAAACGCGTTAAACAAGGCAAACTTACTGATATTGTTCTATAATTCTTAACAGAATCAAATTTTATTTGTGGTTTACAAAATTTAGAATTATGTGAGACAGAGTCTCTGTATGATACACGGCATGTTTGAAGTGTATAATGCACACAGTGCGGACAGTCCCACAGGCACTCGGGTACAGAATATTGACTATGTCATACAGTCCTTGTTTGCACTAAATATTCAATTTTCTATCTTTATTCTACATACTTAACACTAAACTATGCTTCTTTTACCTTGCTTGTGTGAATTTATTATCTCTGATAAAATCTATTATTTCACTTCCCATACTAAAGTATTTTATAAACTGTTTGATCAGAAAAAAGTTCTTTATGTGAAAGTACCTCCTGATTTTCTTTCCTATATTTTTTTTCCAGCACGGATCTGGATTTTCCTTATTAAGCTGTGACCTATACGAATAACAGTTTCATCGATTCAAAATTTCTAAACTTTATTTATATATCAGCGGAGATAATTCAGAAAATGCCATTTATAAAGGAATCTACAGTGAATTTTATCTGGGACTATTATATATACTAACTGAGACTACTATAACACAGTGTTATAGTAGTCTCAGATACTAACGGTCCCGTTAGTAGATCTTAGTCAAGGACGTATATATGTTAGTTATACGTCCTTGATCTTAGTATAATAGTCCCAGATTTTATATATAAATTTAATGTAATTATTCAGATCAGCTTTGGGCGCTGCGATTAGCAATAACACACTATTCTATTATATTCTATTATAATAAAATTGCAAATGACAAATTTTCGCCGAACATACTTTTTGTAAGTTAACAAATTGTGAGCAATATATAACTGACTGCTTCTTCTTCTTCTCCTTCTATTGCATGGATATCCTTCTAATTATGGAACAGCAAATACAGCTGTGTATGTGTATTGAAACGCGTCACACAATTCTAAAATCTAAAAGGACATCTGCTTAATATGAAGTTGTATAAGGACAAAGACGGTAATGATGGGAGATAATCCAAAGGTTTTCTTGTGTTTTTGTTATCTCCCCTAATGGAACGCTTTGAAAACAATGAACAAACCAAAACAAACATGCATTTTCTGAAATTGCCAGTCCTGGTATAACATTCAAAACTTCTCAGTTGAACAGGTAAAAATTCATCAAAATATTTTGCACAATATGAAAAAGAGTAGAAATGAACTGTCAACTCTAAAGTATGCAGGTGTATGAACAACAAGCACTGAGTTCTGCAGCCATAGGCATAGAAAAAAAACACGAAAGATAGATGTATAAAAGCCTAATATTGATTCGGCATTTACAAACCTTTAAAGTAAACAATGCTTTAAAACAAAATTTCTGCAGATATTTTTAAATCCAAGCATTTATCATAGAATACTTATTATTTTATCAGTATAGGATGTGAAAATAACCAGTCACAGAGTGACAAGACTTCAGCACCACAACATTTTGGTACCATGTCCATACGCTTGATTCCAATCGTTATCTTTCCGTCATAGTGTTTGGTTTTAGGTGACATTATTTGACATCATTTGTGCGTTTGTTGGGCCTAAAATCTACGTCAGTACGGTGAGGTAAGGGATGAATATTCTTATGGGGATAACTTCCTTATAACTGCTTCGATAACTGTTTACTTTAAATGATCAAATTAATATATTTCTTAAGGCAGAGCTGGATTATGTACATAAGAATAAAGACGGGTGTTTCAAAAATGTCAAGCAGTCACAATTACTTTATCAGTTCAAAGATGCAGGGATCCTGTTACCCCATAAACATGATAAAACGATTAAATGATGTGACAAATCAGCGTATAGTAAAAGAGTATTTCTGGTAATGGAAATGATATGGATCAAAGGTATTCGTACCTTTGCCAACTCATTCCCAATTTTCACTAACTCTCAGGGATCTCCATGACCTATTTCATGATGGCGCTCTGCCATCATTAAATATTCTGACCCATCGTCAACTTATCTTACACCATGGATAAATAAATGCGCCACAGTTCAAAAACTTAGTTAAATTTTGTTTTCTTTTAAAGAGCCATCAACATTTTTGTTTGCAGTTAAAACCAATAATATTGTATTGCATATCCCGTATTGATTGTCTACAAATTAAGGCTTCTTCTAATTAGTATTTTCATGCCCTTGAGGATATAATTAATGATCACAATCATTTGAACAGGTAGATACACCTGGCAGGAGATTACAATGATCAAGTCCAAACTATTTACTACATTATTTAAAACTTTTTTCAATAAATGTTTAAAAATTTAATTTAGAAGAAAAAGTATGAATATGCCAAACACATGCTCTTTTATGACTTGTGTCATCCCCATCCCTGATACGAATTTCGTTAATGATTTTCCAATTTGACAACGACACAAAAATAATCCTGATTATTTGAAGTTCTATAAATGCAGTGACAATAAAAGCGAGAAGAAATCTGTGGACCATTGATTCATCATATTTAAAGTTTTAAAAAGCATTCTTTTTACTCAACAAGAGGACAATTTCTTGTTTGTTAACAGGTATTGAACAATCAACCAATGGTCATGATGGTAGGCAACATATATGCTAAAAGACTGATGTTAAGAGTACAAATGAATTGTGGTTATCATTGACAAAAAGGAACCAAGCTTGTTGTTTGAATGATTGCAACTGACAATTAATGAAAATATTGGTATTGGTTATTCATCAATGAAACTAATTATAATTATCTTTTCAATATTCTTAAAAACAATATAAAGGCATGCATAATTAATTTCTATTGCATCAAATCAAATCAAATCAAATAAATTTTATTGGTGTAAAATCCAAATATTGGCACGTTTCAAGGTACACAGAACTTTTTCTGGTAAAAGTTGCTCCATGGTTAAATTTTCATCCATGACGATCCCTGAACTTTTACCAACTTATACTTCTTCCAACTTGTACTTCTTCCAATTTGTACTTCTTCCAACTCGTACTTCTTCCAACTTGTACTTCTTCCAACTTGTACTTCTTCCAACTCGTGCTTCTTCCAACTTGTACTTCTTTCAACTCGTACTCAGTTTTTAGTTGTATTTATAATTATATAATATTTGGTAGTTATTTTCTATCATATAAAATATAAAAAAGAAAAAATAGATCGGTTGTTTTGAAATTGCAAGACAGTTAAATTTTCAAATTTAAGATTGCTACTATTCCGAGCATTTTGAATGTTATAAATAAATTTAACTGTTGAGAGTGAAGAAATATTGTATTGTAATTAACGTGGTGGAATCTGTTAAATTAAATCCTTCACCCTGAAACTTTAAAATTTATCACTTTAAAATTTTGATTTTGGATATTATCTATGAAATAAGAAGTAGTAATAAAACCTGATTTTCAGTATTGGCCTCAACCTAAGAAATGCAATACTATTTTAAGAAGTAATTTATATTAAGTACTGTAAGTCTTTATGGAAGCATTCGCTGTACATCTTGTATCAGACATTGAAAACTTGAGACAGGATATATTTTTCAACATAACTATGTACTTTTAACTTTCTACATTTTATTCCTTATTTTCAACTGTTTCTGGTTTTAAGAGGGTTTAATTTTATACTTTAATGATGTCACATCATCATTTACTTTAGAACTTAACTGAAAATGTAAATATGAGGGTTTGGATGGGGGGTTATTCAATTCTGTATTCTTTAATTTTTTAGCCATGTTTCTCTTTTCTTAAGAAATTTTGCCCATTATTCTCTATTCTTTATTTTTTGGTCCCTTTTTCTGTGATGTTGGCCCATTGTTCTCTATTCTGTTAACCCCATTCAAACCCTCCTTCGTGACAAATTGGTAGTAGATATTGATAAATTATTTGAAGTTGCATTGTTCTGTTGATTCAAATATTATCCTTTCAGCTAAAGTTCAGAAATACTTTTTTGGTTTAAAAGGAGTAGGGGCAATAAGGCCCTTATTTGGCCCAAATATTACTGCAAATTTAAAAGTTATCCTACATATTCTTAAATTTGTCCTAACTAGACTAAGGTACGAGGTATTCAGAAAATAAAAACAAATTTGACATTTATCGAGTAAACATGGTAACAAACCATGACGAAATTCTTATATTTTGTAAAATTTCTTGATTTTCCTTGTTTTTCATCAAATTTTAAGTATATTTTAGATTGGCAAAGTATGTGAGCATCCAAGAAACAACTTTATATTTGGTGAGATAATGTCAATAGTTATAATAAAGCTTCTCTTAAATTATTTTGTTGTTTCTTGGCTGCGCACGATGTCTCCACAATGGAAATAACGATGGAAAACTGCTTAAATTCTGTATTTTCCATCGTTTTCATGAAAACGGTACATATTATGATGTAGTTGTGTGACGTCATCAGATAAAAAATCTTATGTTTTTCATTTATATTTTTTGACTCTATGCATTTCCTAACATTATGTGCCAATTTGGTATAGTTGTCAAACATTTTATTTTCTTGGGCCAAAACCGGGCCTTAATGCCCCTACTCCTTTGAAAATGTCCAATCTTCTGTCTTATCAGATCATCTGGTAGAATAGTTCATAAAATTACTACTTTCCAAATAAAAAAGGATAAGTATTTCTGTTGGACATAAAGCAAGTATTGAATCCTTTTAAATTAATACATTTGAAAGTCTGATGAAGTTGGAGATGTTAATTGCAGTAAGGTATAGAAAATCAGGCTAGTGAATAAACTGTCACTAAGATATGAAACCTTACCTTCATGAAATGTACAAACAAAATGTATGTTATTAAACTTTGATTTCAATCAAATTTTAAATCAGTTTATATCTTGAGTTATCTCCCATGCTAGAATTTTATGAAAAGGCTTACCAGGAGTGAGAAAATGTAGCAATCAGTTTGTTATAGTTAACATACACACAATATCAGATTATTATCAAGTTTTGAAAATTAAAATTTCTGCTTCTTTTATTATTAAAATGAAATTATAGTTATAAACTGTCATAAATTCCATATTTGATTGTCTTTGCCAGTGGGTAAACAAAGGGCTTATAAAGAGGTATTCTGAATTACAGAATAAAATACCTTGGCACATCTCTGTACATTCAAAATTAAACAGTTTTGATCCCATTTTTCCCCCTTTTTCTCTTTTCAGGGTACTCACCATGGAAGATTTGGTATCTATCAGGGTAACCAGACCAGTTTTCTGCCAGTTTCAGACAATTTTGATAGAAGCACAATTCACATCAGATGGTTTAATGAAACATTTCTTTCACTTGTATTATAGGTAAATAATTGTATTGTTTAAAGTGTTTTTAATGGATAGAAACAATGTCATTCTTCTAACATGTCTAATACAAGATTTAAGCTTTAAAATTGAAAAAAAATATTAAATTGAAAAGTGAATTTTTAGAAGCAATTGTATGACCTTAAAATATGTACAGGTGATTGTCGTAAGGTGTAAATAATCAACATCTACAACCACTTTTCTTTTTACAGAAGTTTGAACCAGGTGTCAAGGGAAGACCCTGCAGACCATCAGATTACATTGAAGCAGTCAGGGGGAGATAATTTCAGTAGATTGGTTGTAAACATCCCAAAAGCTGTGTTACATAGAGATATATCTGTCAATGTAACGCTTCCAGACAGTGATTGCTGTGAAACCACTGACCATGACAATAATTTTGATGACAGTCCTACTGCTGGATGTATTGTGTCAGATACAGGTGAAGAATTGTTCAATAATAACTGGACTTATATTAAAAACCAGCTTAGCATGGACATATTCTTTAGGACAACCTTTGTATACCTTGGAAACTAGAACATATTTAGTGTGCATTTTGTTTTTCTCCCTGTTCTCCCCAGGTTTTGTTCATCATTTGGGATTCTGATTACTTCATATAATATTAAAAGAGTTTAACATATTAAATAATTCATGGCTATTCATAGTATGGGGCATGGCTTCCAAAATAGTCATATATTCCGGACATTTATAAATTTACCGGACATTGTCTGGCTGGGAAAAGCATGAAACGGACATCTACTTTTAGTTTTCAAGGCTTTCTTAAGAGACTGTCAATACATTTTAACATAATTTAAAAAGTTTATGCGATCTTTTTGACCCAACCTTTTGCCTTTAAACAGCCACACATTTCCGGTCATAAAAGTGACATGATGAATAAGTACTATCAAAACAAACCCTACTTTAATACCTTCTCATTTTAATCAAGGTTAATTAGTTGTCAGACAGCTGAAATTTACCTGTTTAGGCGACAGGTTAACTATGTTGTACGGGACATTGATCGGTCTAATCAAAGTTATTTTCTTGCATTTCAGCGGTCTGCATCTAATTAATTTAGTCAAAAAGATTGAAATTATCAGAAATACGTTTATAAATATGATTTGATGAAAAACTTAAAAAGGTTTTAAACGAAAAATTGTCTGAACCACGTTGTTTGAACTAGTACTCGTATGCGCATGTGCGCAGGTGGGAAATTTAATTATGCATCCTAATTCTTCAAAAATGTTAAAATTATTATTGATACCTTTATCTACCGGTAACGTTCATTTTGAGTATTTTCTTGAAGAAATAACGCAGAAAGAGCTACTTAAACTCAATCGTGCTTTGTAAACGTACACCGAATTTTACGTATCCGTCTCTGGTCCATGTTTTACCATTCCGGTATTAGGTGCTTTTTAAAAACAAAAGTAAAGTTTTTGACAATGTTATTTTGCACAAATAAAGAGTCAAGGCAGATATTAGTACGCTGATGTTGCACACTTCGAATGGTGCACTGTCAATTTAACAGTTTTACGTCAGAACAACGAATTTATATCAAAGTAAAGTTTAATTTGTTTTTTTAATGTCAATCATTGGTTATATGATGGCCAACTAATTACTATAATTGCCTTTTGTAACTAAGTCTTAAGGGATTAAAATCGGGATCAGAAATAAAATGTCAGGCTGGCTAAAATATTTTTTGGAAGCCCTGGTATGGGGTATAAACACAAAATGATAGAATATTTCATATTTTTTTTTGCATGCTATTTATAACAACAAGAGAAAAGTATAGGCCACTCAGCTTGTTTTTATACGACCGCAAAAATTAAAAATTTTTTGGTCGTTTATTGGTATGACGTTGGCGGCGTCGTCGTCGTCGTCGTCGTCGTCGTCCGAAGACACATTGGTTTTCGCACTCTAACTTTAGTTTAAGTGAATGGATCTCCATGAAATTTTACCATGAGGTTCAATACCACGAAAGGAAGGTTGGGATTGATTTTGGGGGTTATGGTACCAACAGTTAAGGAGTTAGGGGCCAAAAAGGGGCCAAAAATAAGCATTTTTGTAACTTCCAGACAATAACTTGTGTGTAAGTGTATGGATCTCTCTGACATTGTACCACAAGGTTCCATATCACAAAGGGAAGGCTGTAATTGATTTTGGGGGTAATTGCCTCAAAATTTTAGGAATTAGGAGCCAAAAAAGGGGCAAAAAACAAGCATTTTTCTAGTTTCATGACAATAACTTGTGTGTAAGTGTTTGGATATTTCTGAAATTGTACTACAAGGTTCCATATCACAAAGGGAAAGCTGGAATTGAGTTTGGGGGTAATTGCCACGAAAAGTTTAGGAATTGGGGGCCAAAAAGGGGTCAAAAATAAGCAAAATCTAGTTTCCAGACAATAACTTGTGTTCAAGTGTATGGATCTCTCTGAAATTGTACTGCAAGGTACCATACCACAAAGGGAAGGCTGGGATTGAGTTTGGGGGTGATGAATCATAAGGGGGTTCAAAAAATTTGGGGGGGGGGGATTTTTTTTTTCTTTTTTTCCTTTTTTTTTTTCTTTTAAAATTTTCCATTTTAAGTTGGTTATTTCTGATTAATATTTTAAAGCAAATAATAATGATATGGTAGGAGATACACACCAAACAGGATGTGTAAATTATTATATAATAAGTATTGTGCAATAGCAAGAAATTTTCAATTGCACAGTATTGCACAATAGCAAGAAATCTTCAATTGCACAGTATTGCGCAATAGCAAGAAATCTTCAATTGCACAGTATTGCGCAATAGCAAGAAATATCCAATAGCACAATATTGCGCAATAGCAAGAAATTGTCAATTGTACAGTATTGCGCAATAGCAAGAAATATTCAATTGCACAGTATTGTGCAAAAGAAGATACTTGGTATAAATTGCTTATTTCTTGATCAATTTCAATGGGGTTTTATTCTTGAATTCTTGGGGTTCTTTAATATGCTGAATCTAATCGTGTATTAAGTTTTTGGATTTTGGGCCCCGTTTTTAAATTGGTCCACATTGAGGTCCAAAGGGTCCAAAATTTAACTTTGTTTGATTTCTTCAAAAATTGAATTATTGGGGTTCTTTCATATGCCGAATCTAACCGTGTATTTAGATTCTTAATTTTTGGTTCCGTTTTCAAATTGGTCTACATTAAGGTCCAAAGGGTCCAAAATTAAACTTAGTTTGATTTTAACAAAAATTGAATTCTTAGGGTTCTTTGATATGCTGAATCTAAACATGTATTTAGATTTTTGATTAAGGGCCCAGTTTTCAAGTTGGTCCAAATCGGGGTCCAAAATTAAACTTTGTTTGATTTCAACAAAAATTGAATATATGGGGTTCTTTGATATGCTGAATCTAACCATGTATTTAGATTTTTGATTTTTGGGCACCGTTATCAACTTTGTCCACATTGAGGTCAAAAGGGTCCAAAATTAAACTTTGTTTGATTTCATCAAAAATTGAATTCTTGGGGTTCTTTGATATGCTGAATCTAACCATGTATTTAGATTTTGGATATTGGACCATAATAGGTGAATGTCCAATTTAAAATTTTTAAGTTCTTAGACCACATTCATTCTGTGTCAGAAACCTATGCTGTGTCAAATATTTAATCACAATCCAAATTCAGAGCTGTATCAAGCTTGAATGTTGTGTCCATACTTGCCCCAACTGTTCAGGGTTCAACCTCTGCGGTCGTATCAAGCTGCGCCCTGCGGAGCATTTTATTAAGTTATAGCAGAAGTTGTGAAAAATTTACATATTTTTTTGATTGAATTGTAAGAGTTTAAATAAATGATAGAATTTTGAAATGAAATGTGAAAAAATAGCTCTTATAAGATGCTTTTAGAAAATAAAAAGACAAAAAAGGTTTTACTGGACTTGTTTTCTTGCTAGTCATGATTTTCATGGATATTTGATTTCCTGGTTTTGTCATTTATATAGTCAGCATACAAGCATATAGAAAAGTAATATTTCGTTGAACTTTTGAATGGTCTACCTTTACCATTTTTACCTACAAAATTCTCGAAAATTGATATCCCAAGTAAAAATGCACAGTACAATTGTAGATGCATGCTTATCTTTTCTGATTACAAAATGAAAACAAAATAGTTGAATATTTTAAATTCAAAATCTGAGACAGGTTCATATAATTTACTTTTAGTATGTTATCTCATATTTATTTGGATATATTTCTGTTTCAGTAAATGCTGAAAATGGACATACTGACAAGATCAACCCAAATTACAAAGATTCAACACAGCACCAGACTTTGGTTTGTAATGTCTGTCAGTTTAAAACAAAAGGTATCAAGAAATTTAAAAATCATACAAGAAAACATTCAGAAAAACAGATCAGTTGTCCATGTTGTGGGGAGACATTTTTGGACGATTCAAATCTGAAACTCCACATTCAAAATAAACATGCGACAACTTATGGAAACAGAAAAAGTAATGACAGTAATTTAATTTATGGAGAAGAAGAAATGCAGGACAAAAATAAAGAACATCTCCCATTTCAAAGAGAAAATAAGTCAGTAGATGGCAGCAACTATTTTAACTTTGAAACAACCTTGAACAAGCATGGAGATAATAGAACAAATTGTGGCATGGAGGAAAACTTGAAACAAATGATGCTAATCCAGGGAGAAAATCGAATCAACAGACTTCAAGACCTAGAATCATCTATAAGTAGTTTTACTTTACAAGATGACACAGAGAAAGGACATACAGACATAAAACAATTATATTCAAAGGTCAAGATAAAAAGAAAAGGATTCTTCTGCAATCTCTGTTGTAAAACATTTCCAAGATTTGGAATATTTTTGGAACATAGAAACTTCTGTAAGCAAAGGTGTTTAATTTTATGTTGTAATTGCCAGATGAAATTTAGATGGAAAAGTAAATACCTGCACCACAGAATAAAATGTAAATTATCAATGGATGTTCAGATTGGTCAAGGAATGAACAAATTTTGTCTCAGAACTATGAATGGTTTTCATCAGCTGGACAAAGTAGAAAGTGTAAAGGATAGTAAAGATACACCAAGGTCGTCAGGTTTGGTTTCTAATGCTGGTTTACATGAAGATTTGACCTTTAACAGTACATCTATAGAAGGTCAGGGTCACACATTACACATCACAGACAAAACTACTGAAATGAACACAGAGAATGGAATCTACACAACTACATCAGATGTTAATTACCTATCCTCTAACCACGAAACACAAACCAGTCAAACAGTTATGAATTTAGACAGGCAGATACCATATCAGGAAATTTCAGAACCATCAGAAAAAGAGAATGGTGAAATAAGTACTTCAGATGTGAATAAATACACTGCAGTGATTGAAAACAGTAAAGAAAGATCTGCTAGTTACAATGTTGAAAACACAGCATTGAATACTCAAACAGAAAAGAAGGATTTAAATGTGCCAAAAAATCATGTAAATGCAGAGAAAATTATCGATACTTCTGTAACGAAAAACTGTATCGATCTATCATGTGTGAAACAAGAGCCAATAGAGTCTATGGAACATCCAACACTAGATGGAAAGGAATCGTTAGTTTTGGAATCAAGCCAAAATTCTACATTGACATTACCTGCACAACCAGGACATCTTGAGAAATCAGTGATCAGCATCCAAAGTCTTACGAACTCTTTGACACATGGTAAAGATTTCTTCAACAGTTTCCTTGAGGATGGTGAAACTACTGTCAAGTGTGAAGAATGTGGAGAAATCTTTAAAAGGAAGGCTTATCTAAAAGAGCATGTGGAAGGAAAACATGGAGGTGATATGCGATACTCTTGTGACTGTGGAAAGAAATTTAAATGGAGGAGTTCCCTTGGTAACCACAGGAAACATTGTTATGAAGCCTTGTTGTCTGTACTGCCAAATGAAGGTCAAGTTCAAGGTCAAAACGTGTCTGTCATAGACTTTAGTCAGTGTGGTATTCCTCACTTCAACATGCAAAATGAGTGGTTACAAGAAATAGAAAAACTAAGTCAATCAGATATATTTTCTCGAAAACCAGTGACTGAATTTGGACTAGGATGTAGGCAGCGGAGTTTATCAACTCCAGAGAAAACACCTTCAGAAATTCAGAGTGAATACATACAACGTAGGAAATCTGAAAGTGCTTGTAAAACAGATGGGGCAGTTGAACAAAGTTCATCTTTGCGTATCAGTACCTCATTAGTAAAGCCACTGGCTGATGCCCTGTCTAAGTACAAACTGAAACCAGCAGTGCTGCCCTCTGGTGGTAACAATAAAGAAATGATTACATCAGCATTTGTTAAGCAGCAAAATGGAGCAGCATTAAATAAAAATTCAGAAAGCAGCATCCATTCTAATGGAGTCATAGATTTAACTTTTGATCACAACAGTAGCAGAAAAATAAGTTCAGATATAGTATCAAATGAGAACATCATAAGCAGTAGTAAAGGCTTCGGAGGTATTCCTGCAGTAAACAGCAGAATGAATTTACAAACAAAAAGCTCTGATTCAGTCCAGCAGAATTACCTGCAACAAAGACGGAAAAGTCTGCATAATCAACAAACGGACAGTTTAACATGCAATTTTTGCAAAGAGAATTTCGAAAGTACAAGTGAGTTAGAAAGACACAAATTGTTTTGCAAACACTTACAAGATACATGTAGTGTATGTGGTAAAACGTTTCAACACCGAACTGAATTAGTGAATCATCTCCTAACTTATCATGGAAATGATGAAATTTACACCTGCTTTTGTAGATATCGTTCCTCTAGTTGGAATTTGTTTGAAAAACATTGTGGAAAATGTGAAGAATTTAAAAATCAAAGTGCTAGCTTGTTGTCAGCAGACAAAAATACAAGACTTGGAAGGGACACAAGTTTGTTAACACATCAACTTGTTAAAAATTATTCTGAAAATAAAGACAGGCCAAGTTTAGATGTTCAACCATTTTCCAATCAAAATCTACCAGTGAATGAAGGGCAGGTAATTGACACATTTAACCCAATCAGTAACAGTTCAATTTGTCAGCAGAAATCACCATCTGGAACAGGATCATCCAAGAACCAGTATTTCAACCTTTCACAAAGTCATCATATGATAAACAAGAAAATGTCATCCAATCATTCTACTGGACAGGAAAAGACATCTCAAGGTCATGAATCATCAAAATTAGATGAACAATCATCAGACCAACTTTTAAATACATCGTTGGGAAATCTTCCAAAAGGTCAGCCAAGATCTAATTCTAATACATGGACAACAAATAAAGCATATCTTTCGACGGCAAATCAGCAAATATCAGTTTCCAACTCAGAAGCTTTTCTGCATTCTCAGTTTGAAGAGGTACTAGAACATCAGTATGAATCAAGGTCAAGTACACAATCATCATCTAAAAAACAAAAGATAGCCCAGAACCCATCTCAAAATAACCAGGATGAGAAGCTACAGAGTCACATGACAAAGATGTTACCTACCATATCTAGTTTTGTAACTTCAAGTGAAAAGCAAAAGGTACAAATTATTCCAAGCCGTATGGTGTCACAAAGTGATGTTAACCATTCTACTAAAACAAACAGCAATGAACAAACAAGACTCAGCAAAAGAGATGTGTATGTGTGTACTTTCTGTGGTAATATCTACAACAATATCCAAAAATTTTCTGAACACAATAAAATTCACCATGGAAACCAGTGGATTTTACAGGAAAACCAAAATAAACAATCAAAAACTGTCTGGATTCCACCAGAAGATAAAACCAATCAGTCAAAAACTGCTGTAGACGTTGCCATGGATAAAGCAAGGCAACTTCCAATCAAAATGGGAGAATTTGTCTGCCATCTTTGTGGGGATAAATTCGCAGCAAAAGCTTACTTGAAGGAACATATAGGTGGAAAACATGGAACAGTTGATCGATACAAATGTCCTTGTGGATTAAGATTTAAATGGAGGAGCTCATTAGGCATCCACCAAAAGAAATGCCCGAAGTCCAACCGGAGAACATACAATCGATGGAATAGTAACTAATGTAGATATTAGTAACAGTTGTCTAACTTGACTAAGTGCCATGTTTGTTCTTTTAAATTTATTTACATATCTTTTCATATTTGTATTTCAATCTTACTTTTAAATGTTAATGATAAATAAAAGCCATCAATTTACGCAAAAGTATTTTAAAATGAAATTGGTCAAATGGCCTACTTGTTTTTCAACCCTGAAAAGACATTACCTTAATTTGGTCAGACAGAACCAATTTTCAGGTACTAATGTTGACTAAGACAAAGGACTGTTTGAAGTTGCTTTTTCATCAAATGACAATTTATTTGCTAATTTCATATTTAAAAACATATTATATAATTCAGTTTGGTTAAAGTTTTCATTGTCAACGTGCATACATATGTTAATTATCTATGGTATTGACGTTATGAGGTAAAATATATAGTGTACTTTGAAATTATTTAATTTTGTGGTATTTAATTCTGTAAAAATTATTTGCATTTTATGTGATTTTCAGGGCAATTATAAACCCTTTATTAACCTCCTTCTTTTTTCAGTGTATTCTTTTGATTGAATATTAAAAGTTTTAAAATTGTCATTTTCAGGTTATTTGAAAACTCAAATTTTTAAACAGAATTTTTATTTCATCTATTTCAATTTGTTTTTTTTTCGATTTCACAATGTATTTTGATGACTATCAGCAAAATTGATTAAAAGACAAAATAATATTTTCAGATATCTGCATTTTCTGACAAGAAGACATTACTCACAGGGATTGAGTAAAGTTGTTTTCCTTTGACTAAAATTCAAAGAAATGAAAACGTCAGTAATTTGATTGATTGGTGTTTAACAACTTTCAGCACTGTTGTGCTATTTTGTGGAGTTCAGTTTTTATTGATGGAGGGCGCCGAAGTGCCCAGAGAACCATCAACCTTTGGTAAGAAAACTGATAATCCTTGTCAATTATGATTGTAGTCGAGAGCACCTGCCATGTATGGGATTCTAACTCACAACCTCATTGTTGACAGGCAAGTGATACAGTAGTTCGACTACTTAGTCCACTTGGCCTCTGAGCATCCCAGTAATTTGAAAAGGGACCATTGCAAATGAAAATATTACTGGGTAATTGACATTTGTTTGTTCAGTGGACTAGAAACCTGCCTATAATTGCTTAGATCCACTACATTTGAACTTTGGTTGATAGTTGTCTCATTGGCAATCATACCACATCTCCTTATTTTTAAATGATGACTAGTTTACATGGGACTCTATATGAATGTTAGTTTTTTGTTGTTGTTTATATCTTGGAACCATGCTAATATCAGGTATTACACATGTTAATTGTGGTAACAACCCAGAAACATACAGCTCTGTAATCAGTTTTATATATTGTTATGCATCCATTTTCTGTATTAATGAAAAAGATATTTTTTGTCTATTTACAATTGTTACTGTAGATCATTATATCTGTCTCGTCTGTCAACTTCTTCAGTTCAATTTTATGTCACTTGTTGTGGCATTAGCCTGCCATAAGCATACAAGGGTATTTTTTAAACAAGGTAAAATTACATTTGATATATCTTAGTTGTTATAATCACTGGGTTTCTATCTATAAACTTGAGACAAATTTGAAGACCACTTTGCATCAGAGTTCTTTCATGTGTTTGCTACATGTATGAGGGTCTGGATGGGGAGTCCTTCATTTCTGTATTCTTTAATTTTTTAGGAATTTTTCTCTATTCTTTATATATTTTACCATTATTCTCTTTTCTTTATATTTTAACACCCCATTATTCTCTATTCTTTATAATTTTTACCCATTATTCTCTATTCTGTTAACCCCATCCAGATCCTCAAGTCTATCTTTGAAGGATGCATTCCTATTAAAAGTTGATTCATAAATGTGTTTCAAACAAATAGTGTAAATTCAGAAATGCAGTATTTTTATTAATGCGAAAAAATGCATTAGTATCAGGTTCACAATATTAAAAACTGACATTCCTAAATTTAGAGAGATTTTCTTTCATAAAAACGCAAAATTTTTGCAATCATTAATTAGATCCCACATTTCTTCGGGTAGTCAGTGATTTGTAAATATAATTGCACACATCAATTTCTGAATTTACAGTAGAAATTCGGTATAAACAAGTTCTTGTTCAATTATATCATTTGACTTGTCTGAGAATTCAACACATTCTTATTTATAAAAATAAAACGCATGGGTAAAATGCTAGCATTATATTTTTTATGATATAACATAGCTTTTTGAACCAAATATTAGTGAAAAAAGCCATTTTGGTTCTGTTTTATAATTATGTTCATTGAACACGTGTTACCTATTACAATCTTTCTTTTTTTGGATAATTTTATTTAAAAAATTATTTCTCGTGAATTGCTGATTTCACTTATGTGTATAAGTTTGGCGGGAATTGAATTAAAATTATGTATTCCCTAATATATAAAGCTCAACATGTTAGCAGATAAAATAATGATGGTATCTCAGATGGAGTTGGGGTATCAGCATCTAAAGGACCATGTTTCCATTGTTATACCCCAAAATGATAATAATGTCTCGTCATTGGTTGAATTATATTTAAACCATTCACAACATTTATAGTCCCCTACCGATGAAGTCGAAGAGGATTTTAAGTTTGCACTCCGTCTGTCTGTCTTGTCAGTCCAGCAAATCATTTTTCCACACTTTTTTTCCGTCATGCTTGAAGATATTGATTTGATATTTGTATATTGTTTTATCATGACAAGTTACAGATCTAGTTCGAATTTTGTCCCTGTCTGATGATTTTGTGCAGAGTTATGGTCCTTTGACTTAGAAAATTCACTAAAATAATCAGTTTTCCACACTTTTTTTTTTGTCATTCTTGAAGATATTGATCTGATAATTGGTATATAGTTTTATCATGACAAGTTACAGATCAAGTTCGAATTTTGTTCCAGTCTGTTGATTTTGTGCATAGTTATGGTCCTTGGACTTAGAAAATTCACTTAAATAATAGTTTTCTAACACTTTTTTTCGTCATGCTTGAAGATATTGACTTGATATTTGTTATATAGTTTACACCATGACAAGTTTTAGATCAAGTTAGAATTTTGTTCCAATACAATGAATTTTTAAACGGTAGGGGTAATGTATTGCCATGCAATACTCACAGAATGCTTGTTGTTTATGCTTTTGAAAATATAACCCAAAATGCAATAGATTCTGAAACAGCTAATAACAAGACCACTACTGTTGAACCATACACAGATCTTTTATAAAAGTGATTTTAATGAGAGGAGCTTCGTACTACTACTGTAGTCCTTTCAGTTTGATTGACCTCCAGGACTATTATTTGTACAGTTGGGAATATCTGTTTGCTAGCTGTATTAACGAGTATAAAACTCTTTCTTACAGTTGATTCCTCGATGATCAACATTAGTGTTTGTCAAACTGCTATATATCTAATGAAATTATTCCTATAAATTGTGTGGTTCAAATTTCTTGAAAATGTTATATTTTTTGTCAACAGGTCAAAGTAAATATTTTTAGAAATTTTTATGAAAATTAAACGAGCCAAATCTATTTTAGTCAAAGTTTTTGGTACCCCTTTAAATTAATTATAATTTGTTCTTGTTCGTACCATTCATGAAATATTTTTACATTGGACATTAAGCACATACATCTCATTTCATTTGTTTTCCTAACATATGGTTTTTAGTGAAGTGTATTATCGTCCATGTTTAATTTGATACACAATTTATTGATGATTATGATGTATTTTTAAATGAGATTTGATTTTTGAGTACCATGTGAGATTAAAATTTCTGCAAATTAGAAAACTTCTTAAATCCCATTAAAAATCCAGCTCCTTGAAGTTGAAACTGTAACATTTATGAAATTCTTTGAAAATTCATTTATTTTCAAACATTTAATAATTCCAATTTCTTTTGGCATCTTAATTTTAGAGTTCATTGCACTTTAAAGCAGCATTAATGTTTAAATTCTATAATTTCGTTACATGTAAAATCACTAGAGTTTATTTCATGTTTTTCATATTTGTTTCTGATCTTCTATAAAGATCACATTTATGCAGCAATTTGATCTTTATTCTGAAATTAGCAAAAAAAACATCTGATGAAGTTTTCTTCTTAACACTAAATATATTTTCCACATATTAAAGCTTGATTAGAAGAATATCTTTACATATCTTTTAGAATTTTGTATGTCATATTTTAAAACTTTTGAGTGTTGTTGATTTCAGTTTGTTGTAGATGTATTTCATATATATTGCTTTTGATATATTTTACTTGAATTCATGATTTCTGGAATTGATTTTTCTTTGTGAAAATATATTCTAGGAAATAAATCTTATCACAGCATTTTGAAATTTACATTGGAACAGTATGTAACCATGCTGACTACCTGAAAAAAATTGCCAGGAATTTCATATTGCTAAGATTATGTCAATGACTCAATTTGAATGTATAAATACTTGTAAAATTCATACACCTATTCTAATTGTAGGTTTTTTTTACATAAAGAATAGGCAAATATTTATCTGTTGTCTTTTAATAAGGACATATATATTTTTAGATAGTAATATAAATTTTTGCTTTTATGTAACAAGTTTAGCACTTTTTGGTGCTTTTAACGACCATTATTGATATGAGCTATCAGATGTCTAGTTGAATTATATTTACATGTTGTTGAATTTATTGTGTTTTCTAGAAATGAAATAAAATAAAATATTTATGGTACTTATAAGTGTGATTGTAAATTGTAATAGTCTATTTGCCAATTACCATTTGATTCTGTTATTAAACACTTTAAACACAGAGTGTTTCCCTTGGCCAATGATATAGCCTGTTTCTTTACCAGACAAAATTGGCTGCAGACCCTCAAAAGCATAAGTGGAAAGTAATATATACACATTTTAACCAATACTTGAAAAAAAATATGACTAAGGGAGCTACCATTTGATTTTTATGGGGGGGTGCTAGGATGAAATTTGAAAAAAATAGGCGGGACAGGAGTTTTGAGTAAAAAAAAAAAGGCAGGATGAGACACTTTCAAAAAAAAAAAAGTCAGGACGACAATTTAGTTAAAAAAGAGTCAGGATAAACTAAAAAAAAAAAGGCAGGACCGAATAGAGTGAAAAATAAAAAGGCAGGACAGAGATTACAGCTAAGAAAAAAGGAGGACAAAATTTTTCATCCTAGCCCCCCACCCCCCATAAAAATCAAATGGTAGCTCCCTAAGGATATAAAAAATGTTAGCTAAACAAAAGATTAAATGGAATGAAAAGATTTGAAAAACTTAAAGTTTACACTCATAACACACAGATAAATTTGCTCTTTCTGTTAGCTCTTTCAATTTCAATTTCAATGATGTCCTTCCTAAAGGAAGCAACTAAAAAAGATTGATCTCAAATTACAGGGTCAGTTAGAGAATTTGCAAATAGACTATTTTTTGTTTAGTACACCTGATTAATAAAATCATGGTATTAGAATAAAATAACATGAAAGGTAATGTTCATTCCATAATATGAATATGTGGAGATATTAGGATATATCTTCAATGAGACACACAAAAACAAATATAAAAATAAGCACAAAAATACAGAAAGAAGTCATCACATGGTCATTTGAAGAAGGTTTGTTCATGAAATATTCTAGTATCATATATTTCATTATCTTAAAAAGTTTTGCCAACAACCCCTATTTGTATTTGGCTCACCAGCTATTGCAATAATTTGCTGACAGTTGTTCACAAGTTTCAAAACTCTCCTCTGAAACTGAATCAAGTTTGGTTTAAGTATTCCTTTAATTTGTGTTATCTTGTTTATAAGTTGTTTCCAAGATTTCAATTTTTCAACAAAACCACAATTGAGAAAAACAGAACATGTGGGGTAAAACTGCACTTATTGGCTTATATCTCAAAGACTCGAGCAGTTACAGCAAAACTGAAATGTATTAAAATGATCAACAGGACGATATTTATCTACCTTGAAATTTTTAGTAAAACAGGATAACCTTTTTTTTGGAGTTATTGCCCATGGAATGTTCAAATTTTAGTTCTTGGAATTATGGCCTCATGGAATAAGATTTTTTTTGTTATTTGTTAGGTGTTGGCAATTATTTTGATTCTAAAAAAAGCTTGATGAAAATCATTGTTGCAAAAAGGTTTTCTCCGTGCACTCCAGCTGCCTTCACCAATAAAAACTGGCCGCTGCAATATACCCAATAGTGCTGAATATGGCGTTTAACACCAAACATCAATCAATCAATCAATTGTAGCAAAATATCAGAAGAACAAGATATATCTGCCATGAAATTTTTAGAAAAATTGGTCAAACAATTTGGAAGTTATGGCCCTTGAAATGTCAATTTTTAGTGAATCTCATTCTTAAGGGTACTGCCTGGAAAACTATAGAGGCAAGTTGAAAATAATTGATAGCAAAAACGATCAGCAAAACGAGATCTATTACCTTGAAATTTAAGAAAGGTTGGTGACCTATTTATGAGGTGTTGCCCCTGTGATGTCTTGCACCACTGGTAACTTTTTCGAAAGTTTTTCTCCTCTAAAAGGATCTGTGTCAATGCTCATTAGGGTATCTAGTTTATAAATTGTATCCAAGCTTCTGGATCATCAAAAAAAATTTGCTAAAAATAGAAATTAGGGGTCAAACTGCAGTTTTTGGCTCGTATGGAAAGTATATACGGTTTTAAATTATGAGTATATATATATATATTTCAATAGTTACAAAATTCTCCATTTGATAGAAATTGTGCAGTTACAACTTTGGAATTGTAATAGCATGTCAAATGCATATTTTGATGATTTTCCATTGGGTAGAAATTGTGCAGCGACAACTTGGAAGTGTAATTGCACCTCAAATGCATATTTTGATGATTGTCCCTTGTTTTGGCTAATGTATCGAAATTATAAGAGCTTTAGAAAAAGTCTATATAGCTTATCACCATCTGCAAAAGTTGTTGATGACTCCTTCTAGAGTTGTTGCCCCTGAAAGGCATGTCTTTACAGTTTTGGCTAATATCACCAGAGCTAGAAGAAATTAAAAATTACAAAACTTACCAGTGCCTCAAGATCTACAAGTCCTCCTTTGTGTTGGAATTATCTGATAACTGATTGAAGAGTTATTGCCATTGAAATAAGTATTTAATGATGTGTATTGTTTAGATGAAGTCCAATGAGATAAAATAAAGCTATGTAGCAATTTTCTGAGTTGTGGTGTCCTTTTCTATTGACGCTATCTTATGACCAAACATTATTTTTATATCATGACGCATGACCCATGATGATTTTGAAAAATAAAAATAATTCCAGCTGCCTCGAAGTCTTGATATTATTAATCTACATTTTATATTGTTGGGATTAAGAACTGGATCACTTCAATTCTGTATTGAGTCTATATAAATGTAAGATGACGATAAGGATTTGATACAGGCTGGTTTCTAAGGCTCATACACACTGTTATCTCATTAATTTTTTTGTGACCTTGAACTTTGACCACTGACCTGGAGTTGAAGTAAGTTAGCGTCCTTTATTTACAGGGAACTACTGCACTTACTGCACTTAGTGTGATTAAGCTGTAATGCTGGAGAAAATCTCTATAGAACTGATATATTTTTCTAATATTGCTCTATAGAACCTACAAGCTTGAGTGTCATAACGGGGTTATGACCTTGACCTTTGACTTCTAATCTTAAAATTCAAAGATAAAATTGACTCCCCCAGGTAACCAAAGAATATGTTTTGGAAGAAGATGGGTGCAAAACTGCGCTCGTTATGGACCGTCCAAGAGCGTTATGGACGGACAACCGATACTCCTTTCACACTCTCTTGGGTAGGGATATACTTTATATTTATTTGAGTGTAGACGATTAAGCATTTAGGTTACTAAATGTAAGTCTACATATTTAAAATATTGTTTTCTGTTTGGTAATAAATTATTAATAAGATCCATTAAGTTACATCTTGTGATCCGTTTATTTGGCAATCGTCAATGGCAGTCAGCAGGGTTTAAGAACATCAGTTGTTCGACCTGTTAGTCAAATGCAATTTGTTAAAATATACTTTTCACTTTTTTGGTCTTTTGGAAAATGTTGTTTGTTCTGTATTTAGACCCCTCTACCAAGAAATTTGTTTTACATGCACACGTATAAAAATTGCGGTTTTTATCCAACGCAATCATAGGTTTGAATTTTGGATAAATTGATCACGAGATGTAACATGGATCTTAATTATTCATTTAATACCAAACAGAAAACAATAAACTTGCGGAGAAGATGGTATACCGCAAACATGAGGTGCAAAAATTGTTGTTATATATATATATATATATATATAAATATCAATTTCATTAATGATCTCAAAATGATTAATTATTTCAGCCAAGTCTATAGGTTCGTTTGTTGACTCCTACTGAGTCTATTGAGACTTCATGATTGGAAGGGTCCAATGGTTTTATATGTACAGCTTTCCTGGTCCCTGTGAACAACCAAAATGATAACATTTTTTGGTTGCCAAATAATTCGATTGCCAAATAAATTGATCACGAGATGTAACATGGATCTTAATTATTAATTTAATACCAAACAGAAAACAATAAACTTGCGGAGAAGATGGTATACCGCAAACATGAGCTGCAAATATATATATATATATATATATATTTATATATATATATATATATTAATTTCATTAATGATCTCAAAATGATTAATTATTTCAGCCAAGTCTATAGGTTCGTTTGTTGACTCCTACTGAGTCTATTGAGACTTAATGATTGGAAGGGTCCAATGGTTTTATATGTACAGCTTTCCTGGTCCCTGTGAACAACCAAAATGATAACATTTTTTGGTTGCCAAATAATTCGATTGCCAAATAAATTGATCACGAGATGTAACATGGATCTTAATTATTAATTTAATACCAAACAGAAAACAATAAACTTGCGGAGAAGATGGTATACCGCAAACATGAGCTGCAAATATATATATATATATATATATTTATATATATATATATATTTATATATATATATATATATTAATTTCATTAATGATCTCAAAATGATTAATTATTTCAGCCAAGTCTATAGGTTCGTTTGTTGACTCCTACTGAGTCTATTGAGACTTAATGATTGGAAGGGTCCAATGGTTTTATATGTACAGCTTTCCTGGTCCCTGTGAACAACCAAAATGATAACATTTTTTGGTTCTGCTGCTGTGTTTGTTGCCCGCCATAACTGCTACATTTTTTGGTAAAAAACGGCAACGGTTACTGGAGTTTGTGAAATATTTACCAAATTGCTCATGCATTTGTAAACTATTATTCTAAACGACTGACCCAGTCAAACATTAAATATGACCCACCGCAAAACATTCGAGCAAATTGTGGAAATACAAATGTAAAATCTCGCGTTTTCGTTAGAAACTTTAAAAAAAGAACTTACACCGACCATATATATTGGCGGGTATCGTGAATTGCTTCTACTTATTTATGATATAATGGAAGCCAGATTACTTACACAGGCTAGTGGAATTTCTACTTCGGTAAAGAAAGTCGTAATACCACAATGTTAACGTTAATGCATCTTTCAATTAGATTGACAACGCAAAACGTCACAGTACGTTAATCGCAACAGAAACGGAGTTGGCAACGTCTTAGATAAGTTGCGGCAAAAATGAAGCAGCGAAGTTCAAAAGGAACGAATTCAACAGAACAAAGGCAGAAGACGAGGTCGAAGTCGATATTTGAATCTGGGCCAACTACTCCAAAAGATTGGTCTCCAGAAAACGTCAAAAGGGATTGCATGTATCATGGATACCGAATTATCAAAACCTTAGGAGAAGGTGCATACGCAAAGGTCAAACTTGCAGAGGTGATGGCAAGAAGATTGGCGCGAAATGAGGCAATGTCCATCAAGTCAGAGTTTTCCGATGGTGAACTGCAGGTATACACATATATTTGAAGTGAATTAATTCATGTTTCACATTATAATGTCAATTCTAAATTATACTGAATAATTGTGTTTAACTTACGATTTTTTTACGGTTTTTTTTTTGTTTGACTCATATACTTTGACTATATTTTCCTTCATATTTCAACATATTTCCCCTTATTTAATGTGTGCTTGCTCTTATCCTTACAATCTGACAATAACAGTTTTAATAGTTTATACGTGATATTCCTCTATTCTTATTTAAAACAAATCGAAACAAATATAAAATAATAAAACTAAATAGAATCAAAAAGGAAAAAAAAAGCAAAACAGTTGTGTTTAATGTTGATAATGAATTATAGAAATGAAAAAAATATATTCCCAAACTGAAACACTGACAAAATAAGTCAGATGGGTATTTCAAATCAGTATTTATCTGTTTAGTTTTAATTTGCAGGTTGCAATAAAAGTTATATCTAAAACTGCTGTTCCCAAAGAATTCCTGCTTAAATTTTTGCCACGTGAGGTTGAGAATCATACACAGATGCCAGAACATCCTCATGTCGTAAGTTATTTTGACTTTAAACGATTTACTTGACCACAATTAAATGTTAAGTAAAGCCACAATAACATAGGAAGCAATGGTTACTAGCCAAGGAGCAAGCCTGCTTTTTTTAAAATAATTTATTTCGAAATTAAATTTTGATTATTTTAATATCTCAACATGTGGTTTAATAGAAAAAAGACACAATCATCATTGGCACTACTGTTAGTGGTTCTTTTATCAACACTGCTGTTAGTTGTTCTTTTATTGACACTGCTGTTAGTGGTTCTTTTATTGACACTGCTGTGAAAGGTTCTTTTATCAACACTGCTGTTAGTTGTTCTTTTATTGACACTGCTGTTAGTGGTTCTTTTATTGACACTGCTGTGAAAGGTTATTTTATTGACACTGCTGTTAGTTGTTCTTTTATAAACACTGCTGTTAGTGGTTCTTTTATTGACACTGCTGTTAGTTGTTCTTTCATTGACACTGCTGTTAGTGGTTCTATTATCAACACTGCTGTTAGTTGTTCTTTTATTGACACTGCTATTAGTGGTTCTTTTATTGACACTGCTGTGAAAGGTTCTTTTATCAACACTGCTGTTAGTTGTTCTTTTATAAACACTGCTGTTAGTTGTTCTTTTATCAACACTGCTGTTAGTTGTTCTTTTATTGACACTGCTGTTAGTTGTTCTTTTATTGACACTGCTGTTAGTGGTTCTTTTATAAACACTGCTGTTAGTTGTTCTTTTATTGACACTGCTGTTAGTTGTTCTTTTATTGACACTGCTGTTAGTGGTTCTTTTATCAACACTGCTGTTAGTTGTTCTTTTATTGACACTGCTGTTATTAATTCTTTTATCAACAATGCTGTTAGTGGTTCTTTTATCAACACTGCTGTGAAAGGTTCTGTTATTGACACTGCTGTTATATTGGTTCTTTTCATGAACACTGATGTAAGTGGTTCTTTATTGACACCGCTGTTATTTTATTTTATTTTATCGAGATTGCCGATAGCGGTTCTTTTATCTTTTTGCTTTCTTTTATCTTTTTTGCTTTAAAATATTTACCCTTTTATATCGTTGTGTTTAAAAATATGAATGAAAAGAAATTTGAGGGATATGCAAATGAGACAGAAACCCACCAACGATAAAGAATAGTGCAAAAGGCCTATAAAATGAACGAATACAAAAATGAAGATCCCCATTTAGACCCTCACGTATTATCTAGATTTTGCTTTCTCACTACTTATGTATCAGTACTTTGTCTTTTCGTTTTAGGTTAGAATATTTGATCATTATTACACACGTGATCATGTATACTTAGTAATGGAGTACTGCTGTAATGGGGACCTCTTGGATCTTATCAATAAACATATAGGTACAAATCAGAAAGGAATCGGAGAGGAAGTGTCTCGGAAACTGTTTAGACAATTGTGTGAAGGGTTGCAACATATACATATGAATGGAGTTGTTCACAGGTACTTTATAAAAGAAAATCGAGGCGGAAGATACCAAGGGAACATTCAAAAGTCGAAGAAAAACTGACAACGCCATTTCAACTATTTTATTGCTGAAAATATATCTTTTAACCGTCTTTTAACATTTCATAATTGTTGTGATCGTGTAGTTACAATTAAGTAATATATAATCAAAGGGTGTTTAATGTGTTCCACCTTTTTATATCAAGTAATTAAGAATATCATAGCCATACGCACCATGTCATGCAGTGTGGAAACTAACATAGATAATAACATATATTAAAGAAAAAAACGAAAGATGTCCTTGCCCCAAAGTGTTTACAAAGCCTCAATGCTAATCGAAGACACTGATGATCTGTGTATGGTTTCTGTTGATTAACTCTTTCCGAAAACTTAACGTTCCCGAAGAAATTTCAAACGATTTAACTGTGATATTGGTCCAAATAGAAAAAAAGGAGAATTATGAAACATAATTGTTTACTTTTATTTCAGAGATTTAAAGTGTGAGAATGTTTTATTAGACGAAAACATGAATGCTAAGCTTACAGGTTAGTGTTAATTTTGGAGAACTTATTGACATTTACAAACATTAATTATAGGGAAGGAGAAGATTCAGCGCAAGTGCTCGTGTGATATAGATTTATTCATATTTTCAAAACTTATGTTTTGTGGCTTTTGTTTTCAGGTTGCTGTTTTTAAGATATTAGATGCCGTAATGTTTTGATTTCTAACTACAAAACAACCGAATTTATAAATATCGCTTAAAGGACTTTAATTCTTCATTTTCCGACTCTTCCAAACCAAATAGTTGTGTTACGATCGATAGTATCTGTAGGATTAGTTCAGCTTCAAGATAAACGTATACTTTAGGATAAGGGATCAACATAGAACAAGTGTCACACATGATACAAGGAGAGCCATTGGAAGAATATTGATATTCGCGTTAAATTGTAGTGACGACATATCACTAGAAACTCAAATTTTCGACACTAAAATATTTGTTCTAAATTTATGTTCAATAAATTAGGTTTGGATTAGTAAAAGTGAGTGCCTTGGTGCAGAGAAATTAAAAAGAGTGGCAGATTTCCACCATGCATTGACTATAGGAAGATTTCAATTATTGATTAGGATGAGATAATTCCTATTGATAATCATAATTATTATCTTTAAATATATTCAATTTGAGATTAAATGAGATCTGTATTGGTTATTATAAAATATTGTGTACATGGAAGCTAACTTTTCTTTGTTTTCAGATTTTGGATTTTCTGCAGCAGTTGATGACCCTAGCGCAATGCTTAAAACATCATGTGGATCTTACGCTTACACGGCACCAGAGGTTATAAAGAACAAACCGTACGAAGGCTTCAAATCAGATGTTTGGAGTTTGTAAGTTTGCCCTCAATAGTTGGACAAGATATATTTTTATAGGTGAAAGGCGTAAAATCAAAAAATTAAAATAGCCTTCCAATGCGCCATATTCTTTGGACTTCATGTATGCTTGGGCGTTGTGAATATTTTGAATATTTGAGGTAGAACAAATGATTTTCATATTGAGGGCATACAAAAATCTTTTCCCTGGTCGCATTCTAATTATAAGACAGTCGTTTGAGATAAAGGATGTGACAAAAATTTATCTATAGTGATATCTGTTAAATTGAGACGTCAAATTCTTGCTGAATTCCACAACTTTCAAGCATACATGAAGTCCAAAGAATATGGCGCATTGGAAAGCTATTTTGATTTTTGATTTGACGCCTTTCACCTATAAAAATTCAAATAGAAACAAATTCAGACATTATATTATCTGGACCAGTAAACTTGATGCAATATTCCAGTAGTTTGAATTAGGAACTTAGGGGATATAACTTTTTAAAGGACCTAACTCCTAAAATGACATTGTAGTAATACTGATATCCTAAAGCATTTATGAAGTCAACCAGAACAAATATTTTCAAACATTATATAAATAACACATAGCTGAGAGGGTGATAGAGCAGTTTATGAATGTTATCAATTTTGATTTTAGAGGTATAATTTTATTTGCCATGATAAACGGTCGTCTACCATTTAACGATGCTCAGATGTTAGAGATGGATGAAGATATGAAAATGCAGAGACTTCGGTTTGAACGCTCATCGTCTTTTGGTAAGGACCAACGATGTTTGATGGTATGGGTGGGGTTTTTAGAATAGCGAATAATTGTTAAAATAAAGAAAAAAGAGCAAATTTTAGGAATACATGTATAAGTAAACATTTAAGAAAAATAAAGAATACCGGTCAAAACACAAAGAAAAGAGAAATAATGACCTAAAAAACTAAAAATACAGAAATGAAGCATTTCCTGTTATTGAAGTTTTATTTCACATGATAGCACGCGACGTAGCCAAACATAATTTTAAATTTGTTGTGGAGCTTGCTTTCTTACAAATTGATCAACTAAAAGCTTCATATTTAATTCTAACATTTTCAGTTGATAGATAAAATACATATTGTAACCGTTTTGAAGTTGTAATTACATACCCTGTGGCATATGCTTAAGCTAGTTAAACATACCGGAAATCCGTTTATACTTAAGGGTTTGTTTTTTTTTATTTAGGCAGACATCCTCTTTTAGACTTCCGAGGCCCTCAAAACAAACAAAATGGGACGTAAGGTATACTTGAATGAGACTAGCGACAAGTTTTCATTATCATGTATTGAGACCATACAGTCGTATTTGTCTCACCTCGACCAAGTCGCACAGACGAGACTTAGGCGTGTGGTTTTAGGCGACGGAGTCAACAAATTGTTAAAGTTTTTTTATGAGGTCATTTCTTATGGAACCATTAATGGTAAGTCAATGATATTTGGGCTGCAGTTCTATCATTTGTATATATCATTTCTATGGATATCATTTCAAATAATTTGACCCCTCCCTCTCAGTCATGGCCTATTGACTTTGGAAATTTTCCATAGCTTTCATGTTAAAATTTATAAGGTCAGTTTAAGGTGGCCCACTAGTGGCAGGTCAATTATATTTCGTGTGCAGTTGTGTTAGCATTGGCACATTTCATTTCAATGGAGATTGTTTAGCCCTTCCCCCTCAGTCACGGTCTCTGGAAACTTTTGCATAGTTTTCATGTTAAAGTTTGTGTAAAAGTCAGTTTAACAATCTTAAGAGTAAACAATTATGATATGTCAACGGAAATTGGTATGCAGTTGTATTATAATTTGTAGTTTTCATTTTCATGGAGATTAATTATTTGCCCCCTGCTCCTTCAGTCATGGTTCATTGAATGTTTTGTTGCATTATGCTATCAAAACTACACACAGACGATACATATCTCTGTGTCAACAGTTTATCTTCTAATGTTGACTTGCAAACGTGTAGTGCAACAGTTATTTGTTATTCTTGCAGATATGCATATTTTAAGTAATGCGATTTACACGACTGATCTTGGTAGTATTTTCTTTTGTTTATTAGTTTTCTTGAGACATAAAATGTAATCTCACCTATTAACACTAGATAATAAAATCGTTTGTTTATTTTCAAAGTACTTTATAAAAGCTGTAAATGTGTATTGAACATAATACAGATTAACGCCTGTGGTTTAAAGGTAGTTACTTATACAAACACAGGATTAATACCATATTATTTTCTGTCAAGGTGCAATCAAATGGTATTAAAAAATTAACCCATGCATATATTTACAAGTTTTTAATACCGACAGATTTCTGTCTGTATTTCTTCATTATATAGTGTTTAAATATACGTCTGTTTCACTATTGTAATTTCTTCAAACAGATTGCATGGTTCTGATCCGGAAGCTGCTGCAGTATCATCCAGCAGAACGTCCACTTCTTGAAGACATACTAAATGATCCCTGGATAACAGGAAAGAAGCCGATTCCACGACAGCTACAGAGACCTAAATGGATTGTAAGTTTTCTCGTTTGAATTATTTTTATTTGTCATTTTGGAGCCTTTTATGACTAACTATGCGGTTTTGCTCATTGTTGAATGCCGTACGATGACCTATAATTGTTAACTTCTACGTCATTTAGTCTATGTTGCAGAGTCGTCTCATTGGCAATTATACCACATCTTCTTATTTTTATATTGAGACACAAAACAGATACACTTCGAATAATTTTCTGTTTTTGATGTCAGTTATATTAAAACGAAAATAATTTCTAAAATTAAAGAGTCACGAGACTCTTGATCACTTTGATACAGTAGCTATTTTTTTCCTAAAGTTATAACTTTTAATTTTTCTCAGTTGTTCACGAACACCAGTCGTGGCAACTACAAGACTGTTCTTTTGGACTATATTTAGTCTGCATTTTAAGTTTTTCTTTATTTATATTTAGAATCCGTACCAAGCCAAGAAACCTGATTTAGTGGACGTCCCGACAATTATTCATACGCCAAAGAAAGTAATAGAATTTTCACCGAGGATGCGGAACAATACTATCTGTTACCGACCCGACGCCTCTCCAAAAACTTACACAGAATCATTAAGAGGAACAGTGACGCTAAACCACAATGTTGGAGAAACTGTAACCCTTAAAAGTCGCTCTGGCAGAGGTATGCTTACCTCTTTTTTGCTTGTCTATTTTGTATCCATGCACATGAAAGTGAAAACAACAATGTATCCCAACTGACTCACATACATGTGAACCTCCCGACGGGAGTACAATAATCCCGTTTTCAGGGGTTTCCTCCCGACCTCCCTTTGAAGAGAAAAAAATCCCGTGTATGAAATATTTCATGAATGAAAAATTTCAGCCCAACATAATTGGTGTAACTGACCACAGGCACTAGACGTTCTGTCAATAGTAATAACATATTGGCAATGGGAAGAAAATAGTGTCCATATATATATATGGACACTATTTTCTTCCCATTGCCAATATTTTATATGGACACTATTTTCTTCCCATTGCCAATATTTTATTACTATTGACAGAACGTCTAGTGCCTGTGAACTGACATTACCTGAAGTCAGTTGACCGACATATGTACTAGAAATGTTAATTGGAAATATTTATTGTTACTTAAATTGTAGCACTTTTTAAATAAGCTAATAGTGCGAAGTCGGAAAAAATCACATTTATGACCCAAATAGAAAGTCTTTTCCGTTTTCACGAGAGAATTGTTATTTACAAATTAAAGTCAAATGCAGTTATCAATCAATCAAATAATATAATTATTGAATATGTTTTTACCAATCCAGTTCTAAAAAGGTTGTATGATTTATTTCGAATTTCCCCCTTTTCTTTGTCCTTTAGATAACAGTTGTCTAGTCCGAAAATTGTAAAACTACAATTTTATTTTGAAAATAGCTTTTAAAAAAAGGATGGATGTGGCGACTGTACAATCCAGGCCAAACACTTGGCCTCGAAGTAAAGATGGATCTCCGTTACCAACGAAACCAGGAAATAAGCCCAGAATATCTGCTGTACAACAGAAACACCAGACCCGACAGAATGGTCCAGATATCAGAACTATTGCTAAAATAATTACAGAAAGATACCGACAAGGAGAAATGGGTTCTATGGACATTTCGAAACAAGTGCCACTTTGGCTTGTTAATCAGGTTAGCCTTTTTTGATTAAGCAAACTCAAGATCAAATTGAAATTTGCAACATCTATTTCTTATTCATTTTAGGTAAAAATAGTTTTGTGTTTGTTTAATTAGTGAACTTTTTTATCAAAAAAAAATGAAAACGGTGTTTTATACAACAAGCAATGATTGCGTACGCTTTTCTGCGTTAAAATCAGTACGAAATACGAAGCCATATTTAAAATGAGATAAAATTAAGATACTTTAAGAACAGCTAGAATAAATAAGGACCAGTTAAAGATACAAGGCTTATGATTTTGTACACAAGACGCGCTTTTCGTCTACACTAGACTCGTCAGGGACGCTCGAATCAAAATAGTTTGAAGACCAAATCAAGTATGAAGTTAAAAAGCATTGTTTACATAAAATTTCAAAATTGTCTGCCAAATACGGCTACGGTAATCTATGCCTGGGTTACAGAGAATCCTTAGTACTTCGAACAATTCAAAGTTTTGTAAACAATAAATGTGGTAAATTTATATAAAGGTAAATGTAATTTGTTATTTTCTTTTCATTAATCAACTTTTTGATGCAGAAAAAAAAGAAAACGGTGTTTTACACAGGTTTTGATGCAGCAAGCAAATGATTTGTGTATGCTTTTGTGTGTAATAATCTGTACGAAATACGAAGTAATATTTAAAATAAGCATTATGTCACCCATGCGTATGTAAGGAGTAGAATTTTTGGAAAACCAATTCAATTTAATGGTTTTTAGTTTAATTTAAAGCCGGGTTTAAATCGGTTGTGGTTTACCAGTTTCAAAACAAATAAAATTTAATTAATAATGATTCGTTAAATTGTTCAAACTACAGACTGGAGGATTGCTGGAGATTTGATACATTTAGGAAAACGGTTTGGGTTTTCATGAAGCAAATGTAACACCAGTGTTGGTTTCGAACTTGTTCAGAACCTGTGTGGAAGATCGAATAGATGGTATGTCAATCCAGAAACGGAAACCAGTTTAGAGGCAACACATACACTCTTAATCTGAGTAGATAACCATTGACAATAACTGCAAGTTATTACGATATGTAAAGAATGTTTGCTAGAGTATGGCCTTGAAGGCGATAATGTATGTGAATTTTTTAATTGGATAATTCTTTCTAATTTTTCATTTTTAAAGATTCTTAACTCAGAGGGAGAACAGAGCGAACAGGAGAAAGCTAGACTATTTGCAAATGGAATTGAAGCATTGACACAACAAGACGAAGAAGGGCAACGCAGTGTTTCACCCGGATGTCCCGCATGCGCAATGTCGTCTCTCTCAAACACTTTAAATACTGAGAAACTAACAGATAATGTTTCAGTTTCACAGAAAAAGAAACAGAATCATAATGGTAAACCCAGCTGTCGCTCTAATTTAACTAAAACATCAGCATCCCCTAGATCCACGGCAAAATCGTCTTTATCAAAGACACAAACTGAAGCATGTGTATCATCTAGACCTGTTAGCGCAAAGCCATGCTCTAAATCACAAACGGCTCAGAAAAAACAGATGGTGAATTACTCGAGTCCATTGCCAATTAAAAAGTCAACAAAAAGTGCTGACGGGAGGATAGTTGTTAAACAAAGTGTCGCCACTTTCAACCAGGTATGATAAACACGTTTGACAAAACATAATTATATAGATAATGATAGACAAATACAACAATATGGTGCTTATTATATGTTTTTATTTTATCTGATTATGTCGGATTACATGACGGTGTGGATGGGGGTTTACAGAGTAGAGAATGGTGGGCAAAAAATTTAAAGAATTATAGAGAAAAATGAACCCAAATAATAAAGAATGGAGAAAAATGAGGTGCAAAAATATAAAGAATAGAGAATAATGGACAAAAAGTATAAAGAATAGAGACAAATGGCCTAAAAAATTAAAGAATACAGAAATGGAGGACCCCCGCCCCCCCCCCCCCCCCCCCCCCCCCCCCCGTCCCCATCCAGACCCTCTTACATCAACATTTGCTATTACTGTACTGTGTTTTTTGTTTTATTTTGTATGTCTATAGATTCATGTACTAGTACTTGTGTAAAAGCAGATTCTTTTAGAGATAATTGAAAAATTATATTTTTTAATTTGTAACAGGCGAAAAAAATACCAACAAATTCAACTGCACCAAATATAAAAATCAGTCCACCTTCAACGAAAGTGAGTAGAGGATTCAAGTTTAAAATAATGACACCTGCAGGTCGTGCTAAAATGTGCAGAGAGAGAAAAATGCATGCTTACACCAACATGCATGCATTTCAAGATGTAGTGTAAGTATAAGACGATACAATTTTATTTATATTTTATATTTTTATTTGTGACGGGTGCTACATGTGGAGCAGGATCTGCTCACCCTTCCGGAGCACATGATAGCACCCCCGGTTTTTGATGGGGTTCGTGTTGCTCAACCTTTGGTTTTCTTAGCTGCGAAACCGTAGCTCTTATGTCCTTATGATATTTTTTGACAATTTGTGAATTCATGGTCCACAAATTGTGAAAAAAATATAATAAGGACCTAATAGCTACGGTTCCGCATCTATGGTCCGCAAATTGTGAAAAAAAATATCATAAGGACATAATAGCTACGGTTCATTGTGTTTATCTTTATACTAAACTTGGCGTGTGAATCGCTTACAACCCCCTACGGATCCATAGAGGGTTAGTAAAATCCATAGCGGCTTCGGCCTCAACCCCTATGAATTTTACTAATCCTCTATGGATCCGTAGGGGGACAATAGCAAACCATATATTAAATTGTAATGGTTAATGGTTTTTAAAACGCTTGACGTACTTACAGTGGCGTAGCTAGGTCATTTTTACGTGTACGCCCGAACCTCGGTGAGGGATATGAAGGCCCAAGCGGGTCCAGGCCAAAGAACCTGCTGGTAGTGGATTAGCGGGGACGAAGCCTCCGGAAGTTTAAGAGTTATCCAGAATGACATTTATCATGAAAATTGACTCATCATAGATACCAGGATAGAAATTTTGTACTTACGCCAGAGGCGCGTTTCGTCTGCAAAAGACACATTGACCAACGTCGCTCAAAACAAACGTGACAAAAATTCCAGATCGTCTGTCAGTATAAAACTGAAAAATGAACGAAAAAAAATTTGCTTCAGAAATTAACCATGAAAAAAACACTTCAAGAAAGTTTCATTAAATTCGACAAAGGTATAACAAAGTTATTGAAATGCCACAAATCTTAACCTCAGACTGTTGATGCAAAAGGAACTTCCTTTTATCCATAAAAAACGGGAATACTGATCATATATAATTTCGTCATTATGCTCTGGCTACTCTTTTGACCATAAACAGTTTTTGTCCAGCTACCGTAAAATTTTACGAAGGTTTGACAAAGTTATTGATATCTTTAAACTTTAACCACATACTGAACCTACATGTACATAGTTATAATATTGGCACTACTGACGAAATTTAGGATCGAAATGTCTCACTTTCGCGACATAAATGTCAATGGCTCGACAAAAATGCAAACCACATATCCAATCTTAGCACATAATGAATTGCATTAAAAAAAATGCTTCGCTGAGCGCAGCTGGATACGACAGCAGAGGTCCAACCCTGAACAGTCGGGGCAAAAATGAACACAATATTCGCACTTGATACAGATCTGAATTTGGATTGTAATTAAATATTTGACACATAATAGGTTTCTGACACAGACTAATTGTAGTCAAAGAACTTGAATTGGTTATGTGATGTGAATTTATATTAATTTTTTTTGCTTTTGTGCAATACACTATGATGTTGCGAATTGTCCAACCCCCCACCCCACAACCCCCGAAAATTTCTTTCCCTCAAGATATAGTCATAATCTTAATTCAAATTTCAAATGGAGTTTGCAAACATAATAGCCCATATAAATACATCATAAAAGTCTTAAAATAGAAAATGACGTACATAATCATGGCTAAAATTAAATAACCTTCATCAACTTTTTTAAAATAGTAACTTCAAAAAAGAAATTGACAGCTAATCACCTCAAGACAATACAACATTTCTTTATATATAATTTAAAAGCAGTGTAAGGGAGGTAATTCAAAATGTTGTGTTTGAATCACTTTCCTTACACTGCTTTTAAATTATGTTGTGTACTTAAGTAATTGTCCATTAACCAGGACACCCTTGTTTCCCCCTTTTATGCCCATAATTCCTAAACGGTTATAGCCATAACGCCCTAAAGCCAAATTTAGCCATCCCTTTGTGGTATGGAAACTTGTGGTATAATTTCAGAGAGATCCATACACCATTCCACAAGTTATTGTCTGAAAACTAGAAAAATGCTTATTTGGGCCACTTTTTGGTCCCTAATTCCTTAACTGTTGGGACCATAACCCCCAAAATCAATCCAAACCTTCCTTTTATGGTCATAAAACTTTGTGTATAAATTTCATAGATTTCTATTTACGAATACTAAAGTTATTGTGCGAAAACCAAATGTCTTCGGACGATGACGACGACGACGACGTGATACTAATATATATACGACCGCAAATTTTTTTGGGGTCGTATAAAAAGGAAAGTGAGAGTAGAATTCAGGGGAGATTTAGACTTTGACAGAAAACGTACAAATATATAGTATGCTACTTATTTTCGTCACTTTTATTCGCAATTACAAGCCATTGAAGAAAGACTTAGAAGGTTGGTGAACTGTTAACCAATTCTTTTAATTTTATTTAGATGAAAATATTTTTTTATACCAAATTCAAGTGTACGCCCGGGCGTTTTGACGTAAACGTAGCTACGCGCATGACTTAGAAGTAAGAAAAAAGATGTTCAACCTTCTACCTGAACAAATGATATTCAAAAATCTACCGATGTCGTTATGAGGGTGTGGATGGGGGTTTACAGAATAGAGAATAATGGGCCAAAAGTATAAAAAATAGAGAAAAATGGACCAAAAAAATAAAGGATAGAGAATAATGAGGTGCTATAATATAAAGAAAAGAGAAAATGGCCTAAAAAATAAAGGACAAGCTTTATTTTGTAACGATGAATTGGTCTGTTTACCTGAAAGTTGATTGATTAGAAATTTAATTCTTGAAGAGATTCAATATACCAGCTAATACTTTTTTACTGGATTCTCACTTTCTTATTTGAATTTGAATTTTTCTTCCCTGGCGTTTATTAAATTATTTTTTTTATTTCTGCTGCTGTCCCTACCTCGAGTAGTGCATAACGTGAGGGTACCCAAATTGCACCTATTTTGACAGTTTTTTCACCTACGTTTTTTTTATGATCCAGACAAAAGTTTCCATTCTGTGTTTACTTTGAAGAGGTATCCTTATTTACTATATAGTTACACCAATTTCATTTTGAATCCATATTGAATCATAGAAAAATGGGTTTGAACCGACCTCCAAATGATCCAGGATTCCTTGCATCCATGCTAAAATTCACATCCTGAAAAATTGAATAACAGATGTTTTGTTCCATTACTTCAAATATTTAGAACAACTTGACAATTGTCCATGCTTACTATTAATTTTTTAAGAAATAGATGCTTGTAACATATTTAAATTCCTCATTTCTAAAAGATGACTTTTTGAGAACGTCGCATGGCGACGTTTCCGTAGATTTACTTTTTCAAGTGAATGCTTCATCTGTTGATATTTACTGTGAACGTTTTGTGGGCGTAGCTACCCGGAGGCACGACAGCACGTGCATCCACGTCATTTTCACCAAAAAAAAAAGAGAGAGAGAGAGAGTTAGAGAGAGAGAGGGACAAAGTTAACAATATAGGTATTTGTCTTTCTATGTATGCATTTTAAAAACTACACAAAGAATAAAAGCAAGAGGAATACACATGCAGCGAAATTTTTAATCCTGTAAGACATGTATGTGTACGATAAAAACATACAACTGGTTTAAACTTAGCGGAACTTTTTATATTAAAAAATACCACCTACATAGTTGCCGATACCACCACCATAACGTAAAACTATACTCAGGCGCTTAAGTGAAAAAAAAACCCCATAATCCTCCTATAGGGTAAACAAAAAAACTTGAAAATTATTATTTTCCGCTTCGCCAAAAGCACACATCTTACTAAAACGAGGACTCTTCAACTCGTATCGATCCGGGGATAATTACTGTTACCTTGTGAACTAGTTCAAACTTGACTAAGTATGTAGGTCTTGACAACACGAATAGTTCATTTTCACATTACGTCAACGTATTCTCGTCCTGGTGTGCATGTAATATTTGCTACCAGACATTAATAACCATTCAATCAATCAATAGTTTCCGTATACTAGTAGATGAGAAGTTGGAACTGCTTTTATTATAAAAAAAAGTACACATTTTCCAGTACATGTATTATGTTTTTTATTTATTTTACACAAAAATATCTTCTATATAGATTCGATAATTCGAAGTCGTTTCTATATGGGCCGGCTATATTGTAAAAGCATTTAGATAAATTGCTAATTCTAACTCGTTTTACTGGACTGTTTGGTCATTCAATATTGTTATAAATTTTCTGTCCGAGTCGGGCTCTTAACTGCTGATTCTTGTTCGAAAGATACACCAAACTTTTAATACACGTATCTTCACTGTTATCATCTAGATATTTCCATACAACTGGTCGAATGCATATGTATTTGTTAATTAGCTGTATAATTAACAAACGCAGATCATGAAAAAGATCGTGATCAAAGTACCATTCCCTCTGAAAATGTTCATTAATTTTAACTTCGAGAATTCCTAACTGCATAAGATTAGAAATTCCTATCTCTCTCTTGTAGAGTTTACCCACAAAATTTTTAAACATCTAAATACATATGTTAAGCAAAATATTGGAGAATGTGTCCACCAAGTATTTGGTATCCAATGATGTTTATGCTAACAGAAACTCCACATATAGTATTGTGTTTATGTTTATTGTTTGTTTTTTATACATCTACTTTGCTCAATACAAATACTAGCATATGGAACAAATCTCTGTGATTTTAATAGCTCTCACGGCGTACAAAAAACCGCAAACGACAATGTTTAGCCTTCATTCGACTCGAAGTTAAACAAATAGTTGACCTAAAAAACAACAACAAAAATGTCCAAGTTTTATTACGGTTGTAATTGTTTTAAAACGCTATATATGCGGAGCTTCCAGGGGGCTTCGCCCCCCCCCCCCTGGCCCCCCTAACAGGCCTTTGCCCTAGACCTACTGGGGGCCTTAGGCGGCCCCCAGACCCCTCGCCCTTTAGTTTGTGATTCCACTTCATCAAAAAGGTAGCTCGATTCAGCTATGTTGAAAGACGTGTATAATGTCAAATTATAAAAATACAAATTGTTTAGTCTCAAAGAAAACTTGTAAGATTTCCGCAGCTATTTTTGTTGAATAGGAGAAATTTGGGTACTCGGTGCAATTTGGATACTGTGACGTTATGCATATTTGTAACAGTAAACTTCATTGTGAATATAACATGAAAAATAAAGTGAGGAAGAAAAAATATTACCGAAAGTTAAAAAGTTACAAAAAAAAAAATGGAAATCCAGACACAAGTACATATTGTCCCTGTGACGAGTTGGTAGATCTTGACGATATCTGACTAAGAGTTGAAAATAGTTTCCCGAAAACACTTTCCTTGCATTATCGGCTTTACCTCGTAACTGGCGTTCACTATCTATATAGTGAGCAATAAGACATGTGCTGCATGTACAGTAGAAAAATGCGCCCCCTTCCGGGCCTCTTGAAATGTTGTTATTGAAGCCAATATTGCACAAGCTTTAGTTTTCCGTGCATAAATAATGCCACTGGACGTTAAGCAGTCGAAATTTCAATGTTGTTTTGTGCCATTTTCTAACGTTGTAAATTGTTTGTTTGTGCATCTGTCCTAATTTGTTTTCAGTTGTTTCCGTCTTGTATTGTCAATGATAATTTCTGAGCCTTCGAGATTTATACAGGATTAAAAGACTACGAAAGTCCTTACTAAGATAACTCTATTGCATGCTGATCGTAAATTAACTAAAAAGCATGTGGAATAATTAATATTCAACTAATCCATTCACTGACAGAGCTGTTTAATCTACCAGTATTATATTTACTTTAAACTTTTTATCAAATTCACACTAGTAAAAAAGAAACTTAGCTTTCACAATCCTATTTTTCACTGATATTTTTTAGGAAAAAATAATGTTTTAAAACATTGCTTACTTTTGTGGTTACAAAAAAAAATAATGTATTGTTTTGATTCCGTGGGCTCAGTCTTGAACACTAAATTAAAGTTGAACTTAAACGGAGTTAAACTTTGTATTTCTTTTAACTGCTTTTATGTTTTAAAAACGCTTTATGTATTTGATTTAAAAAATTTCTTCTTTTGCATTCTAAATGTTGTATTTTGCAAAAAGATACATGTTATGCACCCTGAAATTTGTATCATATGTTTATTGATTTTAAACATATGGCAATTCAGTCTCTAGTAATTGCTATTATCATAATCTATGTTTTAGTCTTTATTTGTCAATGTTTGAATATTTTATGCATTGATTATCATGTGTGTGAAATATGAATGTTATACTATTTTTTAAACAGGTGGCCTTTACCGTTAGTGCATGGTCAAAGTGTTTCCAGTAGTGCAAATCGCACGGCAAATGCATCCCCCTCAGGTCAACTCAACACCACACCACGTGACATATGCAGATCAGACACAAGCAGGTTATCGGAATATACAGAGGAGAGTCCAATAGTTTCAAATGACGCCACAAATATGGCTTCTAAACATAAACTTGTAGTGCATGTGTGTTCATAGTATTGTTTAAAGTCAGATAGAATTATAAATGAATTATCTGAAGAAATTCAAGATCATCATAACATGAATATGAGTGCTAATGATTTTGTCAATCTTACAGATTAGTCACATATTTGTAAAGTAAAAGTTTTAAAACATACTTAGGAATTTGTCACATTTCTTTCAGATGTTGCATGGTTAATTTATGTTAATACATATTCAAAATGTGATTTTAAATGTTATCAGAAAATTAAATGTATGTACACTTCTATAAATTTATTGTTCATGGAATATATAAATCATTTCAAATTCAAGGTTCCACTATAACCAGGCATTGATAGACTGAGCCAGATTTGGCTCTACTTTTTGGAACTTTCGCTTTTAATGCTCTACATCTTAGCAATTGATTTTGGACTTTAAACTGTTTTGATTCGTGTGCCACTAATGAGTCTTGCGAAACGAAACGTTCAGCGTTCTAAATTGTAAGCCTGGTATCTTTGGTGACTTTTCCCCCAATAGGATGAACATACTTTATGGTAATTTTTGTACAAAGTGTTACATCTCCTTTAGGGGTCAATGTTTGAGCTCACTTGCGCAAAGTTGCAGAAAGCTACAGGTGTTTTTTTGTAGTAGCTTGTATGATGAGCACGTCCTTACTCAGTTCACTTTCTCATTGCAATTTGAATATGGACAGCGTTTAGATTGATTTGATACTTTTACAATCGGTATGTATCCACATGCAAACAAAATTAATGAAATATATGATGGTCTGAATGGGGTGTACAGAATTAAGTAAATAATTGGTTTGATTTGTTTTGGATCACAATTATGATCATTGTCCAAATATTCTAAATAGCCTAGAAAATGGTGTTTGGTTATCTAAAGGAGTAAGATCGGTAAGGACCATATTTTGTCCCGATTATTAAGTTCAATGTTTCAAGATATACATACTAGTACTCTGGCCATAGAAAAAAGGGTATCATATGACTGAATGATTGATTGGTGTTTGCTTTATGCCGCATCAGCGCAAAATAGGCGAGAGTATAAGATTAATGAAACATGAATCCAATCACAATTGCTTGTTATGAAATATTGTTTACACAAAGAGAAGTTTTACAGATAAAACTCTAAAGAAAGCATGTAACAGGAGGAACTTTTTCTGCATTGATCATTTATTTTCATCTGATGCTAAGCATGCTTTTTTCGGGGCTTCGCCGCGCGAAAAATAATTTTCACTTTTGAACACATTTGTTTCCCGCATTTTGTGTTGCAAAATATTTAATTTTATGCTGTCTTGTGCAAAGTTTCTATTTTCAGTTCTTACCAGGGAAAGTTATTAATTTTCAAAAACCTCCCGTCTCCCCGAGAAAATCAAATGGTCGTCCCCTAACGTCGCGTCAGCGCGAAAAAGACATATAGGGATGATCAAACTATAACGAGATTATGAATAAGTGATAATAGAAAGAATAGCAAATTTAAAATAAAAAAATTAAAGGATCTCTGTCCATATGTACAGGCAAATTTTTATCATTTAATGGTAAACAGTGTCCATCTTGGAAGAAATAATGCTAACAGATATCTATGATACATTGTAGTAAGAACTGAAATAAACCCTTTGATAAAATACGACTTTTTTAATCACTGGTAAACTGTTCACAACTAAGTTCGTTTGGCCACTCCATACCAATCTCATTCATAATTTGTTCACATCCTGCACGAACAGTATTACATAATAATTGATTCCAACGTTCACTATCAACTTGTGGATTACATTCAGGGAAATACACTAAACAGAGAAAGTCTTGAAAAAAATCACTACAACCTGCCACCACAAATAAATAAAATTTGTTCACTTCAAGACCTGCTTCATGTTGGTTTTTATGCCCGAACCGGTTAGGAAATGTTGTCTTTTTAAACTTTTGTGCGCACATAGGTATAGTTATTGGTTCACAGCCACCTAGAACATAACATACGATAAATAGATGCAATTCAATGTAATAAGATAAATATAATTTCTTTTAGAAAATTGTTTACTATAAATACGTGAATATATACCTCTTAGATTATAAATTCCTACTTTGGTAAACTTATTTTGTTTGATTGTTTCATTTATGTTTTTGAACGCATGTATTGGGTAAGTTGAATGTTGAATAATTAACTTTCAGATAGTTTTACCTTTTTCATTGTGGTCGTAGCAGACTCTTTTTGGTACTTAGTAACCCACATATATGATATTTTCGGATTTTTCATTGAAATTGAATCTTAGTGTGACTGATTACAGTGTATTGTTCTTTAATTATTCCAGATTGGGTAATAAGATAATGGAAATAAAGTAAAGTAAAAAGAAATAAAACAAGGATAACAAAAATAGTTCCTTTTGCTTATTTCAAATTTTCAAATTGTTTTATGTCCCAAGCATAAACAGTCAGTGTATAACATTTGAGGTTAATCTGAATGTCCATTTAAATATATACTTTGATTGGACGTTAAAACCGAAATATTAAATGTACGCTTCCTATTCTAACGAACATGGCATTTTTCCAAACGCATTGAAACAAAATATAAAAAAAACAGTGAATAAATAATATGCAATGAAATATATCATACTGATCATACCTGGAAACTTATTACATTCAAAGTTAGATGGCCAAGGAAAACCAAACTTGTTCATCAACGGCTCACATCCCATTCGCGAATTCTCACAAAGATACCGACTCGGTAATGTTTGATATCTTTCTTTCACAACTGGATCGCATTTTGGGAAATAGTAATTGCACAAAAATTCCCTAAACGACGCACTGCATCCAAGTTCAACCAAAGGCCAAATAGCTCGTAAATCTTGTTTTGCCTCCGTTTGAGTTCTATGACCTAGAGTATTTGGAAACGTTGTCATTGTGTACCCTATATTCATGCACTTGGACGCTGTTATAAGCTCACATGAATACGCCAATGAATAAGTATATGCAAAAATAGCTCCAAAAAGATAGAAAAACATGAAGTCTATGTTGGGATGTTTAACAGAATGTAAACTGACAATTGCCATCATTGAAAAATTATGAATTATGATTAGGCCTATTAACACACATTACAAATCAGCGTTAATGATGTATTGTTAAATTTGACATTTTATCTCATGACTTACGAAAGATCATTGAAAATGGTAAGAGAGAGAGAAATATAAGGTTCGTACACGAAGGTAGTTGACAACTGAGCTTATAGCAACAGAATAAGATAATAAATGATTTCAATATGCTTAATTTCCTTTCAAATAATGGCAGAATAATTCAATACCATCCAACTGCAGTTTACTTTTCGGATCCTCTACGCTCTTTAACCTCGTACTTTATTTGGTCTTTAACTTTTTTATTCTAGCGTCACTGATGAGTCATTTGTAGACGAAACACGCGTCTGGTGTACCAAATTAGATAAGCCTTCTATTTTTGATGATTTGTTTACAACTTCTGGGTCGATGCCATTCCTGGTGGAGGTTTCCTTCCCGAGAGCATCGATCATCAGCCCATGCAGTAGTCAGCACTTCTCTTTTGACATGAATTACCTTTGATATTTTCATATTCATAAGTTAACTGTTTACAAAACTTTAAATTGTTCGAAATACTAATGATTTTCTATCCCAGAAATAGAATACCGTAGCTGTATTAAGCAAACGCTTTTGGAATGTTTGGGTCCTCAATGCTCCTAGACTGCGTACTTGATTTTGCCTTTTAACCTTGTTTGATTCGAACGTCATTGATGAGTCTTTGATGACGTGTTTATAAAAATTACTACTGTTAATTACTAATTGACCAGTTGAAAGATATTAACTTTAGCTAGGGTCATCATCCACTAGCATCAGCTACACCAGAGGGCACCTCTATCTCTAAACCATTAATTTCCATAGTAACTATTGCCAATGAGACAACTATCCACCAGAGACCAAAAAACAAGATTGTAGACAACTATAGGTCACCACACATACAATTTCTGATTGTTTCTGTGAAATATGTTCTTCTCAATATATAGACTCTGGACGATTTAGATCTTGCTATATTGTATAGAGGCCTGTTTATTGTTAAAAATTATAGGTAACCTTTTAGTCTATTCATGAAGCATTTTATGTTGCCCTCACGATGTCTTGGTTATTTTTGTCGTTGGGTTGCTATATCATTTACATATTTATATATAACCAAAACTTACTTTTATTCATAAATTGTTTGGCCTGATACTAGTATGAGTCTTATCGCTGTAGGTGATTCGGACGAGTTCAACCATTTCTATACTAACAACCAACTTGTCAGCAAATTTATAGAATGATTAATAGTTTGGAATTGGTCAAGATGAATGTCGAACTAAGCAGTGCTGGTGGATGTTACTCGTATAGAACTGATACCCACAAGCTTTATGCTTGTTTTTTTTTATTCATAAATGGGATAAACATATACCTTTGATGACATTCTGCTTAAAAAATTCTACATAGTAGAATTTAAGTGTGTATTTCAAATAAAATATAAAAATAAAATATGACCTAGCTTTACTTCGTTCAATGTACATATCTGGTTTTGCATCCGTTCGGAACTATCGTATCAATTTTTTGGGCCAAATATTTTTTTATTCAAAGAAAGCTTTATAACAAAAAGAGACTTCGTTTGTTGATGTGGTTCATAAGTGTTTCTCGTTTCTCGTTTTTTTTTTTTATATAGATTAGACCGTTGGTTTTCCTGTTTGAATGGTTTTACACTAGTCATTTTTGGGGCCCTTTATAGCTTGCTGTTCGGTGTGAGCCAAGGCTCCGTGTTGAAGGCCGTACTTTGACCTATAATGGTTTACTTTTACAAATTGTGACTTGGATGGAGAGTTGTCTCATTGGCACTCATACCACATCTTCTTATACCTATTAAAACATGGCAAAAACCATCTGAGGTCAATTTCGCAAAAGATGTGTTTACTTGTGTGTTTGATATACATTAAATAATTGACAATATTTCCCTCTATGCACAGCTTAGAAAGAGAGAGAAGAGATAACAAGGGGCAATAAAAAACCATACGTCAAAGAAAAACAGACAACACCCATAACAAAAAAAAAAAACCCAACCAATTCACAAAACATTACAAAGAAAGATTAAGAAACACCAAACTGTCCAAATATTTGCAATTGGAGATATATTCAGACTTATCTTACCTCCTATACATTTCTAGGAATATCATTGGTTAAAAGATCTTAAAAGCGACCGCGTGGAGACCGTGTATATTTCATATGGGGTTAGTAGGCGTGGCTTATTTTGATAAACGGTTAGTAGTGGTGTTACGTCCCTTTATAAAAACAACACGGCGTTGAAGAAAAAACTGAAACGCTTTAACAAACGAAGAAATTGATTATGAACGATTGAAATAAATGCAGAAATAATTAAAAGCTAACAAGTTGTTATTGTTGGCATTTGTTTTTGTATAGACCAATGGTAGTAGGTTCTTTATATTGAAGACTTGATCACTTGTTAAGATAGTCGGTAAGATAAATTCGCTACACAGTGTGGTGGTGACCTAATAAGATATATATGGGGTCAGCTTCGCTCTCACCCCATATGGAATTTACTGACCCCATATATATCGTATTAGGTCACTACCACACTATGTAACTAATAATACCGTTCTCTTTGATTGCTTTACATTTTTTCTACAAATAAATCCCACACAGTGAAATCGCACTAGCAAAACGCCTTACAATACAATAAAACCTAAAATGACATCATATGACCCTCATTAATAGACAATTTAAAGTCTCTATATTATACATGTATATCAAGTTCTTCATCGACACGAGCTAGATGTAATTTTAAACAGACTACCAAAGATCTTCCAACAACTCCAAAATCCAAAAGTAGACTAAAGACATCAAGAAAAAATCAAAGAGAATGATTGACGAGCTTCCATAATTGATCTCGGGACAACACATCAATTTTTTTCATTCTTTATTCTTTCATTTTCTTTCAAGTGGTATTACATAAAAGAGTTTACATTGTACATGCGCAAGTTAGTTAACCACAGTGTCAATTTGAAAATGTTCTTTGCATTAATTTGATGACATATCTGACAATTCAGTATGTATATTAAATAAGGGAAACGATTTAAATGGAACAGCTTTTGTTTATTACAGATGCAGACGAGAAACGGTTTTGTACAATTAGAAGTTACGGAAGATAGAATTTTAACTAAAATAATAAAACCAATGCAATTACATGCTAAAACTAGTATTTTATTTTCAAAATATTACAGCAGAGAAACGTTTTTATCTATTTCCTGAGTATTTTGACGGGCGTTGATTCTTTGCAGTTTTCTGGATAGCCTTTAATGTCTTTACAAACTCTTGATTCTGAATTGGCCGATTTCTGAACCCATTTGAATCTAGCATATTCATCGGCTTCAACCGTCATTGATTTTGATGCAACTTTAAACTCAGTAAAGGAGCTTTTGTCCATCAACACCCTACAATGAAAATGTATTAAATTAAATCTATAATTGACCTCAAACACCTCTGAAATCGACGAAATTTTTCTATAGCATTATACCGTGTGACACCAAAGTTTGTAATATAGGTTAAGCATAGAAGATATATCCTGTTAAAAACTAGTTCATTCTTTTTATGAACAAGTCTTTCACATTTTCGCATTAGTTGCCAACTCTACAGAATTATTCAATTTTGAAAGTACACGCTCATAACGAAATCGTCATGGTATATGTATACACATAAAAATTATCTTTTCAAATTGTACTTAAAGCATTGAACCTGCTGGATATCAATTACCTGCAAGTTACCATGAATCGAATAAAAAGAGTTAAATAAAGTTAACAAACAAAGACTGAGGGAATAGCAAAGGGTAAAAAAAAGACAGAAAACTGTTGTGTCGATAGGGTAAGCGTCTCCTGGTTTCAATTCATCACCGGCCATGCGAATTCTCACTTAGTCAACATGTTTTAACAAAAAATAGGACAAAATCAGTAAATTAACAGATCAGACGATTGTACTTGTATCTGCATATCTAAGACCACGAATACATGTCGCAAGCGAGTCTCGAAGTCGTAAAAAATAGTTCCCTTATTTTTTGTTTACTATCTATTAAAAGAGTTGCCATGAAAATTACCCACATTTTAAAGCATTTGACATATTAATAAGCAATGATTCATGAGTAAATGTCTTGTAGAACAAAAATAATCTCCCCAATGAATATATATATATATAAGTTTGTTGGCGGACAGACCTTAACATATAAACCTTGTTGAAAAGAATCTGCATACATTATAAAGCTAACAAAAGACTTCAGTTTTTAATCCTGAGGTTTATCTTTTTTTATAAACACATATTAAGTTTTGTATTTACCATAAATTTTCAAATGAAAATATGTCTAAAGGATCTGCATGATTGTACAACTGAAAATAGACTAAAGTGTTCTGATGACTGTGCAGCAGGTCAGCGTCAGCGTTCGTATTTTCAAGTGGAAGTGGCCCTTCATATTCCTTTAGCGTAACCCCACTCGATACCTCTCTATCTCGTATGTTAGTTACCACCCAATTAATGTCCCGATGTTCATTTACTCCATCATAAGATCTGTTTGTGTGTTTGGTTACCATCATCAACGTGAAATAATTGCCTAAAAAGAAATACTGTGTTAACTCCTGCCTGGAGCTGAGGATGCCAAAAAACATCATATCTTTATTGGAAACTATTTCGTATAAAGTAAGATAAAAAGAAGGATAAATCTTTTCTAAAATCTGAATAGTCATAGAAACAACGAAATAGTCTGGTTGCTATCATGACTGTAGGTACTTTAACTCAACCGAAAGCTGGTTATCTTTATTACATGTGTGGGAGACACACGCAAAAATCACCGTACAATGTAAAATTGTCGTTGGTTGCTGTCTGTCATAATTATTTTCATTTATGTCTTAAGCATAATTTGGGCAATTGGTTTCGCAATTGAATTGTTTGAAATGTTGTCATGTTGGGTCCTTTTATAGCTGAATATACCCTATTGGTTTTGTTCATTGTTGTAGCCCATGAAATGACCTATAGTTGCTTTTATCCAAGTCATGTGTCATTGGCAATAATACCACATCTCCATTTGTTATACTTATACTTATTTCTGTTCAAATTGCAACATTTGTTTCATGTTCTAAGCTGCCTGCCTTTCCCCGCTGACGACTCGTCGTTTGATTCATCTCATCGTTTTATATTCAAAAGTGTTTCACCATTCTCATTATGCATGTCATTACTGAGAAATCATTATTTGTTTACGAAAATTGAAATTAAGTGACATTTTTGCTACTTAGTGTATAGCCATATGAGTTTGTTTCGTGCAGATATTCATATTTGTCTTAAAATAGTAATTTCCCTAAAAAATGTAAATAATAAATATATATTTATTTCAAGAAACTGTAGACATTTCTGTCTCTAATGGGGAAAAAAATCCTTTCAATTTGGACAAGAAATATTTCAGTTTAAATTTTCATCAAAAAGTGCTTTTGTATGAAATAATAGGGAAATTTCCGATAGGTGAAACACTTTTGACCTTAGATTAGCTGACAGAAAGCGTATGTTCAAGTGATTGCAATAAACGCTGTTCTAATACATGAGGGTGTGAATGGGGGTTTACAGGATAGAAAATAATGGACAAAACATATAAAGAAAAGAGAAAAATGAACAAAAAAATAAATAAAGAATAGATAATAATGAGGTGCTAAAATATAAAGAAAAGAGATTAATGGACAAAAAGTAAAAAGAATAGAGAAAAATGGCATAAAAAAAGAATAGAGAAATGAAGGACCCCCCCATCCAGACCCTCATACATTACCGGTTTGTTCTGTTGAAGTGGTTTCCCACGAAACTGTAGGTTTATTTAAGGACCTGACGTCTGCTGTTTTCAAGAGTACACCCTCGTCTAGAGGAAGTGAAAAATCTTTCTTGCTAGGTTAATAAAAAGAACATTTATTATATTATAACAGCTTGCTTTTCGGTTTAGATTTATGTATAAAAATAAGAAGATGTATTTATGTATTTTATTTCAATCATTAAACTATTTCTAGATTTCTGGAAAAATCGCAAAAACGCGTACTCGAAGATTAATAAAATCACAAAGCAAAAGAGATGTTTTTTAAAGTTAAGTTGGATAACTTGCGTAAACACTTTAGCAGAGTAGATTTTTCTCCATAGCTCCTACTATCGCTTCCATTTTGGTTAAAGTTCATATTTTCAAAATTCGGCTTTAAAATTTTGTGAACTATGTACGTATATGTCTTGTCATGGTCCGTACAGTTGTCTTGTTTTTATTTGATTTTCTAGTTCGTCATTTGTTGGTTAAATTATGATCTGTGGTTCTCCCTCAATCAAAATTCAGTGTCTTTGCTATACAAATAAGGAGATATGGTATGATTGCCAATGAGACAATTGTCCACCAGAGCCCAAATGACGTGGTTGTAAGCAACCATAAAACAACTATACGGCCTTCAATAATGAGGAAAACTAAAACAGTATAATAGGTTATAAAAGGTCCTTTCTTCTTAATAAGGCATACAATATTCCATCGACATTCGATGATTACATACTGTTGCATACGTGGACTATTTATAAATATTTACCCAATTTAAACAGAAAATAATTATTTAGAGCAATAAAAATAACAAATTTATGATTAAAACTATATACGATCTTAGTTTATGATATTAAATAATAGTAAAGAAAACAACAGAAGTGAGCTGTTTCCTGAAGCTATCGACTGATATTGCCAGAACTATTATCACAGGAAGCTGATTCCACTGTGGTATTATGTATGGAAAGTATAAGTGTCTATATCGTTGTATCTCACATGACAAAATGTGAAACAATTTAAACAAGAAAACCAACGGTCTTAAACGGGCTTAAACAAAAAACGACTCTTGATCCTGTGCACGCCTGTGGTTTTATGTAAGTGCATGTTGCTCACATTTGTTTAGTTTCCTGTGTGGTGTTGTTTGTCCATTTTTTGTTGTTGTTTATTTGGCGATATTGTTGTTTATCTATTCTTTGACATGATGTTTTTGAATTGTTATTTTTATATTCTTCATTTTTTTTTCAAACTTTTGCTTTTTACTGTTGCAACTATTTAAAGATTAATGTCCCTTTACAGTCATCCATTCGTATCTCACCAAATGTGACCAAATGTGAGATCGGAAATTACGTAATAAAATTAAAAGTACTTGCAAACTTACGCGTAGGAGTAAACATGGCAACATGACACAAATGTAATGCCTGATGTAGTATATCTTATACTGAGCTTGAATGGAACTGAAGACTTTACTATGTTTTTGACTGTTGAAGATTTAATAACAGGTCTCACTGTTTTTGATTTTGAAATTATAGGTCTGACTGTTGAAGGTTTGAACACAGGCTTGACTGTTGGAGGTTTCTTTAATGTTTTGGTAGTCTCACATTCGTCTGCAAATGATATGAGGTACAATCACAAACAAAATAAGATATTTAAGATATTAGAGTCATTAAAGTACATTAAAAAAAATATGTTTACACATTTAAAAAAATTAGCATATAAATAATGTCATTGACAAAACATTAGGTCTTTTGGAATTCACTGTTACCTGTAGTAAACACGTTTTCTTATTCAATTTTTAGACCTAGCTAGGCCTATGAGAGACAACTTCCGATTTGTTTTTTTTTCAAACTACATTGATATTCACTAGAAGTGTCTTTCGTTGAAGTAGCCAAAAAAATCTTCAGATGAAAGTACCCAAACAAATTTCATCTCATCATAAAACTTTGAAAAAAATAGGAATTTAGAATTTAAATTAGACAGCTGTTGAGATTTTGTATCTTTCAGAATAAGACATTTTAACAGAAAATGTAGCTCATCTTCAACTGCTTTCTTATATAGCTTACAAATTCTGTCTTCAGCTTTTATACCAACATACACCCTCTTTGAATGTCAAGGTCATGACTGCTACTTCTAAATTCTGAAATTATTTGCCTGTCTTTTTTTTAAAAAATATATTCTTAAAAATAGTTCAAACTTGAAAAATATCAGCTACTCAAATTTCTTTAAATCTTATTGTTAGAGACTTTTTTGATATATGATTTTGTTTAAAGTTTGACTGGTTTACAAAAAAGATAGTCTAAATCAAGGAATTTGAAAATATATCTGATGTTTCCTATCTAAGATTCTTGGTTCGATTGGTTCATAGACTGTGAAAGATTTATTGCCTCCCATAAGATAATATTTGAAGTTTTAATTTCTTTCGTAAGATGAATCAAATATTCTATCATATTCATGACTTCATAAAAAGGTGTAGGAAGCGAACCTATTTCACCTCTACATGCCATATTTGAAGTTTTTATGTTACTTCAATTGAAATTTACAAAGTTAGTATGGATTTTCTCTAGTACAAGATAATAAGTTGTTTCTTTTAAAATGAAGTTATCCATATGTTTTTGTTTCTTATATGGTATATAACCCCAAATTTCAGATCCATACAACAAGATGGGTTGGCTTGTATGGTTATAATTTATAAATATGTAATAAAATACTAGGTTTTGGGCTTTCCAGAGAAAAAGTCTTGCTTAATTTGAAAAAGGCTTTCATTCCTTTATCATAAAGTTCTTTCTATGTCTTTTGGAAGGTCCTAGATGCTGAAAAAAATTATTCCCACGTATGTGGAGTTCTGTACACATTCTTAAGTCTGGTTTCCTAAGAATATTTTAATATTTTTTTGTTAAATACAAGAACCTTGGTCTTTTTGGTGTTATCTGTCATTTTCCAAACTACTGTTAATTGAAATAATTTATAAATACGATTTTGAAGTCCTTGTTCAGATGATTATAAGAGAACAAAATCATCAGCAGCATTACCTAATACCAGTGCATAGACTGTTAAATAATGGTAATAAGAAATTATCTGGTATTAAAAGGCGGATCATTTAAAATTATATAGAAAAATAAATACTTTTGAGATAATTCATTGATAATGCACAATCTTCGAAGACAGCAACACAACAAAACTATAATGCTAATTAAAAATAACAACAGCAATGCTCTATCGAATGATCAAGCTGAATAAGGAGGGAGTTTTAAGTGCTACAAAATAGTTAAAACTTTCCATATGCTTTAGTAATGTACAAGAATATCTTCAGTACTTTGTGATGGCGATCATGTTTTTCCCTTTGAAAACAACATGAAAAGATTCGAACGTTCACACAACTGTTTATTCTTAAATGGAGCCCCAATCTTATACCGTGAGCTCATTGATAGAAAATTCCTTGCTTGAACAATATCAAAGAATTCTAAGGTAACATACTACTTAATCAGAGCACCCAGTACCCGGCTGTAAAATTATCATGACCGATTTTGTCTCCACTTACAATTTGTGATGCTCACATCTTTCGCTTAACTGGAAACAATGCTCTTCAATTTGTTTTGAATGCATTGTTGTTTAATCCTAAAACATTCAATTTGAATAAGCATGCTGTGAAAAAGACAACTTACTTGAAAAATTTTCACAGCGTAACGATTCAGGCCAATGAAATCCAAATTTACGCATGAAAGGAGTGCAACCATATCGTGCTTTTTCGCATAGCAGTCGTAAAGGTAAATGTGACATTAAAGGGTTTACCTGATTGCACCTAGGAGCATACAATTCACATAAAAACTGCTTCAAGTATCGATTAAAATAGTTTTTAACGAGAGGAAAGAACCTTTGTATTTCGAAACCACTATCTCTTTGATTTTCATGTCCCAAAAACTGTTCGGAAAATTTGTATATTGATATCCAATCCCGTCTTTACACAATGGAATAGTAATTTGTTCACAATTGTTCTCAGCATCAAGTTAAACAATTAAACATGTAATGGACACCAGTAAATAGTTCACATGTTTTAACAACATCATTGCTACACTTGCAAAAGGAATCAAAACAACTTATTCACAGTCAAATTTCCATAATTCAAATTATCATTTAAGGATGTTCGCTACTCTGTTTCAAAATATCAAGCTTTTTAAAAGACTATTATAAATTGATAGTATATAATTAACGGAGCAAAAAAAGCAGAAAAAAAATGAAGGGTCCGTGTGCTTATTTTCGAGATATAAGCCATTCAACATTTGGCGGGAAATTATTCCCTCTATATTTTTCTTATAATTAACATTGGCATCTTTTTATATCAATATCTATGAAAAAATAACAAGGATTTTATAAGATTTTCAAATATGGCTTTTTAAACTATATGTAATAAAATTGTGAAAATAAAAGTTGGGCTTAGTGGGCAATTTTTTTAATGGCACTACAAGGATAAAACCAGACGATTCTGAATATCTGACAAAAAAATCAAATACAAGAGGATCGAACATCCTTTAACGACATTTGCATATAAAATTATTCTAATGTAACATTACTTAAATGTCAGTAAAACTGGTAATTTTTAATATAATGACAAATAAGTTAAAGTTCACGTTTTAAGCTACTTAAACTGACATTGATTTTAAGTTTCCCGAATTAGAGACAAACGCCTAAAGTTCCCTATACGGATATTTAACTTCAAAAACACTTAAACATTAGTGGTGAATGAAGAAGGGTCCATAGTCCATGTAATCATTAAAAGGTCATTGAATTTTTTTCTTAAAAATATACAAAACTTACTTTAAAAAAGAGGCGAAAATACACAAGGGACATTCCATTTCATAAGTCGAAAATAAACTGACAACGCCATGGCTAAAAAAGAAAAATACCAACAGACAAACAGACAAACAGAGAAACAACAGTACACAAAACACAACATAGGAAACTAAAGACTAAGCAACACGAACCCCATCAAAACTGGGGGTGATTTCAGGTGCTGCAGAAGGGTAGGCAGATCCTGCTCCACACGTGGCACCGGTCGTGTTCCTCATTTTAGTACAAACCCGGAAATAAGTCTATAATTCGGTAGGTCACATTCGGGAAAAGGGGACGGGATTGTAGTTACGACATTAGGAACATGCGTTACCATCTGTGAAACGGCTATTCCATAACGGTCAACCAACTCGAGATGGCGTCCGTAAAACTTACGAAGGGATGATTTGAACTTCGTCAATTAGAATTCTTGGTTTAATAGCTTCCTGGTGATCGGCAAACCTCTATAAAGGAAATCATGATAGCAAATACAAGCCCTGGAATATCGAATCAACTGCAGATGTATACTCTGAATACAGGCGCTGCTGGAATTTTTCTACATAGAAATGAAAAGTTCACAATTGGGAAGCTGAAATGATCTCTTTTGTCGTGAAGATTTGTTTCAACCGATCCTCATTGTCACTTTCTAGATGTTATAAAATACAATTGGATACTGTTGGAGCTAAATTGAACATCAAGTAGACACTGTAAAGTTTTAAAGAGTGAAAACATGCTAACTTATAAAGCAATAACTTATCCTTATCTCCTGACAATAAAAATACAGATTCGTAAACTTTATTATCAGATATATTACCTCTGAAATTTGATACGATATTGTTAAACAAAATTTAAGAAAAGAAGGATATATTTCATTATGATGAAGTTTTCGATCATTCAAAATCAAACACATGAAAAGATTCGATCGTTTATAGAACTGTTTATTCTACAACGGAGGTTCAATCTAATACCGTAGCTTCATTGATTGAAAATACATTGCTTGAACAATATCAAAGAAGGCTAAGGTAACACACTAACTTATCAGAGCAACTCCGTAACGTACGTACCCGACTGTAAAACTATCATGACCGATTTGTCTCCACTCACAAATTGTCATGCTCACCTCTTATATATGCTTATCTTGAATCAATGCTTAGACTGTTTTCAATTTGCTTTGAATGAATTGATTGTTGCTTAATCATAAAACATTTAGTTTGAATTAACATGCTGTGAAAAAGACAACTTACTTGAAAACTTCTCACAACTTAACGATTCAGGCCAATAAAATCCAAATTTACTCATTAAAGGAGCGCAATCATTTCGTGCCTTTTCGCAAATCTGTCGTGAAGGTAAATGTGGCAACAAAGGATTTGCTGGATTGCATTTAGGAGCATACACTTCACATAAAAACTGCTTTAAGTATAGACTACAGTTGACTTTGACGAGAGGGTAGAACTGATGTACTTCTAAACCACTGTCTTCTTGAGTGTTATGTCCCATACTGTTTGGAAACTTTGTAAATCTATATCCAATCCCGTTTTGACACATTGGAATAGTGATTTGTTCACAATTATTTGCAGCATCAAGTTTAACAACTAAACATGCTATGGACACCATTAAATAGGTTACACAATTTAACAACATCATTCCTACACTTGCAAAACGATGCAAACAAAATTCCCAAACTCAGCTAAAGTTTCATTACAGTCAAATTTCCTTAATTTGAACCAAGTTTTCCCTAAAACGAGATTTGCATTTATAACTATAATATTCTTTTGTAAGATCACTCAAATGTCAGTGGAACTTGTAATTTTCAATTTTGTGACTAATAAGCTAAATTTTAAAAGTCACATTTAGTATACTAATCTTCAATTGACGTAGGGTCGATATTCTTTTTATTTATAAGTGTAAAAGGATTTATTTAATGGTTGTTGTTCGCAAATACTTTGCTTGATTTTATCTAGACTATATTATGAATATGCAACTAGACAAAGACATTATTTAAGAAATGTGTAGGTCATAATATTAGTATTCATTAATTCGACAAACAACAACACATTAATAAGTTTTTTTTATTGCTTATCTGTCATGGCAATTCAATTTTCGTCAAACAAATACCATAATTTGTCAAACATTTAAACATAGCTGACTATCAAACAGTAAAGGACATACCAGTCAGTGTATAACAATTTTCTCTGCTGAGTCAACCAAAGCAATGAATTTCGATAAATCCGCAATCCATCTAATTAACCAATCAAGTCCACGAAAATTTCTGCCGTAAGGTTTTGACGATGTTCCAATAACGTACATGGATGGAATGTCACAAATTCTAATGAAAACAGCAATCTGTAAAATAAATATTAGAAATATGTTAAAAAGGAGGAGCTAAAGGATATTGTATCAATTGTATATATTATATTTATAATTTGTATCTATATAAAATTCAATGATAGCAATGACTATAATTGTTTTAGAGTTACCTTTTTGAAAGTCAACTGCTTGTATCTGCAATAATAACTTTTTTAATTTATTTTCAGGAATCGTCATTTCAATTGTATTTATTGGCAAGCCCGAATACTCCGATATGCTACAAGGACCTTCAGTGTTTTCATCTGCAATTGGTACAGGCAATGGGTTATTATTATAATTGAATGATATATGAGTAATTTCTCACCATTAATACCATTGTTGTCTGCCTGCACACCGACATTACATGTAGCTACTTCTAACAATTGTGTTTTCACTGTTGATGGTCTATTATTCGTTGTTATGTGTCTTATCTGTTCCCTGGTTTGTCTGTATGTTGTGAACATTTATTCACTGCTTTTCGTAGACTTAAGACTTGGGATTGATCTACGATGACGGAGAACGGTTGTGTGGTTTGGCAATGTTGCGTGTCCACCGATGTCGAGAAAATATTTTGAGAAGATACGATGCTACCGGACATATAACAATTGTTTGTTTTTTCATGGACATTCAAATTGTATATTAAAGCATACAAAACTGGCATTCTTTTCTGTAAATTTGACTTAAAATCTGAAATTAAAGTGAGACAGCCAATCTCCCAAAAACTAATCATTTATATAGAAAAACAATGTATTGCCATATGACCTTTGACATTGAAGGGCAGAACTTGCAATATGGAGTAAATGTGCATGGGACAAAATCGAACACAATACATAGAAAAAATGAACAGGTATATTATTCCTGTTCTTTATCTTGACAGTCGCTGGCGGGTCTTTAACAATGAACGAATTACATACGCTACAACAAGGTCAAGACGGTCCCTAGTGTCGACTTAAACGGAACATAAAGTATTGTACTGTGAATAAATTTTAAAGTCCCAAAAAACTTACAACATATTCTAAACACAATATAAGGACAGAACAGACAGATCCGACATTAATCAACCGGTATGAAAACTAAATTCACACAGTTAAATCAATGATAATCAGTCCCCCTTTAACTTTATTTGAAGAAAAAAAACACAATTGACAGGTACAATACGTTTTTCTCCGAGCAGAAACTGAATAACAATATAAAAAACAGCAGCCACACACTTAACTCTGTGAATTACGATTTTCGAAAAAAATAATAAAAACAAACCTTGCGTTTCAGATCAAGAAAGGGTCATGGAAACGCTCAGAATGCACAATTTTGAGTAATTTTTTCCTAAACTTCTGGGGGCCTCCGCTTGGCAAATATATTTTGCCTCTCTTTTAAAAGAGGCTAGTTACAGCCCTGCCAACATGTCCATCTTGAAAGAAATAATGCTAACAGATATCTCTGATACATTGTATTAAGAGCTGAAATAAACCCTTTGATAAAATACAACTTTTTTAATCACTGGTAAACTGTTCACAACTAAGTTCGTTTGGCCACTCCATACCAATCTCATTCATAATTTGTTCACATCCTGCACGAACAGTATCATTACATAATAATTGGTTCACATCCTGCACGAACTGTATTACATAATAACTGGTTCCAACATTCACTATTAACTTGTGGGTTACATTCAGTGAAATACACTAAACAGAGAAAGTCTTGAAAAAAATCAATACAACCTGCCACCACAAATAAATAAAATTTGTTAACTTCAATGCCTGCTTCGTGTTGTGCTCGAACCGGTTGTGGAATTTTAAACTTTTATGCACGCATAGGTATAATTTTTAGTTTACAGCCACCTAGAACATAACATCTTAAAAATAGATGAATATAAAATTGGTTCACAGCTACCTAGAACATAACACATTATAAATAGATGAATATCAAATTGGTTCACAGTCACCTAGAACATAACATATTATAAACAGATGAATATCAATGCTATCAAATAAATACAATTTCTTTTTGAAAATTGTTTACTATAAATACGTGAATACATACCTCTTGGATTATAAATTTCTACTTTTGGTAAAATTGTTTTGTTTGGCGGTTTCATTAATTTTGACGCATGTATTGGGTAAGTTGAATGTTGAACAATTAACTTTCCGATAGTTTTACTTTTTTCATTGTGGTCGTAGCAGACTCTTTTTGGTACTTAGTAATCATGATATTCTCGGCTTTTTCATTGAGATTGAATATTAGTGTGACTGAATACAGTGCATTGTAATTTAATTTTTCCAGATTGGGTAATAAGATAATGGAAATAAAGTAAAGTAAAAAAAAAAACAACAAACAAACCAAGGATAAAAAAAAATAGTTCCATTTGTTTATTTCAAATTTCAAATTGTTTATGTCCCAGGCATAAACAGTTAGTGTATAGCATTTGAGGTTAATCTGAATGTCCATTTAAAAGAATGGAAATGGGGGATGTGTCAAAGAGACAACAACGCGACTAAAGAGCAGAAAACAGCCCAAGGCCACCAAATATATACTTTGATTGGACGTAAAAAACAGAAATGTTAAATGTACGCTTCCTATTCTAACGAAAATAGCCTTTTCCAAACGCATGGAAACAAAAGATGCAGTGAATAAATGTTATACAATAAAATATATCATTATGATAATGATCATACCTGGAAACTTATTACATTCAAGGTTAGATGGCCAAGGAAATCAAACTTGTTCATCAACGGCTCACATCCCATTTGCGAATTCTCACAAAGATACCGACTCGGTAACGCTTGATATCGTTCTTTCACAGCTGGATCGCATTTTGGGAAATAGAAACAGCACAAAAATTCCCTTAACGACGCACTACATCCAATTTCAACCAAAGGTCAAATAGCTTTTAAATCTTCTTTTTGTCTCCGTTTGAGATCTATGACCTTGAGTATTTGGAAACGTTGTCATTGTGTATCCTATATTCATGCACTTGGACGCTGTTATAAGCTCACATGAATACACCGATGATAAAGTATCAGAAAAAATAGCCCAAAAAAGATTGCAAAACATGAAGTCTATTTTGGGATGTTTAACAGAATGTAAACTGACAGTTGCCATCATTGACAAATTATGAATTATGATTAGGCCTATTAACGCACATTACAAATCAGCGTTAATGATGTATTGTTAAATTTGACATTTTATCTCATGACTTATGAAAGATTATTGAAAATGGTAAAAGAGAGAGAAATAATGTTCGTCCACGAAGTTAGTTGACAACTGAACTTTTCTTGTTTGAATTGTTTTAAACTAGTCATTTTGGGGCCCTTTATACCTTTATGTTAGGTGTGTGAGCCAAGGCTCCGTGTTGAAGGCCGTACTTTGACCTATCATTGTTCACTTTTATACATTGTGACTTGGATGGAGAGTTGTCTCATTGGCACTCATTCTACATCTTATTCATATTATACTGTGACAACATAATACGATAATATGCGTTATTTCCTGTCATATAATGGCAGAATAATTCAACTGCAGTTTACCTTTCGGATCCTCAATGCTCTTTAACCTCGTATTATATTTGGTCTTTAACTTTTTTGATTCTAGTGTCACTGATGAGTCATTTGTAGACCATGCCCTTATCTGTATTAAACAAACTCTTTCGGAATGTTTTGGTCGTCAATGCTTCTCAACTTCGTACTTGATTTTGCCTTTTATCTTTTTTGATTCGAACGTCATTGATGAGTCTTTGATGACGTGTTTATAAAACTACTACTGTTAATTACATATTGTCCAGTTGAAAGACATTAACTTTAGCTAGGGTCATCATCCAACAGCATCAGCAACATTAGAGGGCACCTCTATCTCTAAACCATTAATTTCCATAGTAACTATTGCCAATGAGACAAATATCTACCAGAGACGAAAACACAAGATTGTAGGCAACTATAGTTCACCACACATACAATTTTTGATTGTTTCTGTGAAATATGTTCTTCACAATATATAGACTCTGGACGATTTAGATCTTGCTATATTGTATAGAGGCCTGTTTATTGATAAAAATGATAGGTAACCTTTTAGTCTATTGATGAAGCATTTCATGTTGCCCTCACGATGTCTTGGTTTTGTCGTGTGGTTGCTATATCATTTACGTATAACCAACATATACTTTTATTCATAACTTGTTTATAGTATGAGTCTTATCGCTGTAGGTGATTCGGACGAGTTCTACCATTTCTATACTATCAACCAACTTGTCAGCAATTTTATAGAATGATTAATAGTTTGGAATTGGTCAAGATGAATGTCGAACTAAGCAGTGCTGGTGGATGTCATTCGTATAGAACTGATACCCACAAGCTTTATGCTTGTTTTTTATTCATAAATGGGATAATCATATACCTATGATGACACTCTAAAAAAAATTCTACATAGTAGAATTTAAGT